CGAACTTGTTACAGCCCCAGTTGGAAGGGCAGAATGAATGCTCCAATTACACCCATTGCATTTGCACGAATGGGACATGTGCACGATTGGAACACACACATGCTGCTTGGCGGGCATGAAGCACATCTTTCAGTCGTGCTCACATCCCTAGGCATTGGTGGTCAGCTCGCGCAGCTGTTTGGTTCACTCCAGGTTAGTCGGTGGTGGCTTCGATCGTCGGTAGGAGGAAGCGTGTGCGTTCACAAATCTTGGGATGAGCCGTCACACATACGTAACGCCGGCCTTGCTGTGCTTCATCTGTACTGTACCGTGCCAGCAAAGAAAGAGGCTATATCCCTTTGGTACATCCCGGGTGATTGGCACCGAGACGACATGCTAACAGCCCGTCCGTCCAGCTGCACTTGGGCAAATCTGGCAGAGTGCCAGCGGTCCTGGTGCCATGGAGAGAGACGCTTAACGGAGGCTATTTCCTAAAGCTGCTCGGATTGCAGGCCGAGGTAGAAAGGGGAGGTCCTCGTCGGTGCTTTCAGACGTCGGTGAAGAGGCGCGAAACTGCAACCACTTGCATGAAAGTGAGCAGACCAAGAGCGCACAGAGTTTTTACTGTAGTGATAAACAGACTCCGTGCTCCATACGATACTCCCAGGCCATTGCATCGCAAGGTCTAATCTCTTTAGCGTCGCAGTAGCTGGACTGGCGAAGAGTGGGCCAAAGGTTGGACGCAAGGTGATCCCGGTTCGAGAGAGCCGTCGAGCGGTTCTCGAGCTGTAACATAATATTGCTCACATCCATTGTGTCTGTATCATGTACGTGTACGTGAGTTCTCGTATGGATTCTCCCATGCTTGCCTCGACCTCCCGAGCGCGCACACGGTGTGTCGTCGTCGTTGCACACAGGGTTCCAGACTTGACATAGAACAATAGTGACAATTACGGTGAAGATGGCCCGGTTGATTGGACAGATCTGCGAAGAGGGGGCGCAAGGCAGCCAAGTAGGAGGCAGACGCCCTCGGACCCTTTGACCCTCTTTAACTCTCTTTGTGAGGAGGGGGGTTTAAAAGGCCGCATGCAATGATGAGCTGGCAGTGCCGCCGGTTGATATTAAGCAAACACACGCAGCGAACGGTTCGTCGAAGCTTGCCCCAAGGTGCCATGTACAAGTACTCGTGCTCCGTGGCTTGCACACTCGTGTCCCGGCTTCTGTGCAATAGTACTGGGACAGCGACACCCTCAGTCATCCTCACATGCGCGGAGGCCCGAGCGCTGACGCAGAGCTCTTGTAAGTAGTATATTATTGGGAATTGTGGGCGAAGGACGGATGACAGGAAGCCCGCTGCGTGCGCGGTAGAGGTAGCACCGATTGTGTGTACGAAGATGTACGAAGCAGCAGGAGGAGTAGTGCTTCCTCTTTGTAGTACCGACACCAGGGGGGGGCCACTTTCGGCAGCGATTTCTTCTTGACTTTGCCTGTCAATTGCTGATGAAAAAAGCCCCGTCCGTCGTCAGTCCTCGCCCAGGAACCACCCGAGGAGGAGACGCCACCCACGCTGGATGACACTTTGGTCTGGGGTAAAAGATCCGTTGCGTCTGCTGCGAAACTCGGAAAATACCACTTGCTATCCATTGTGATATGTGTGATGGAGGATGCTAAAAAAAGCATGGCAAAGAGCAAAGGGGGTTTGACGCCTTGCCTAGCACAAGCGTAGCTGGTGGGCGGATCGCCGGCCTCAGCTTGTGATTCGACAATTGGACAGCTCTTGGCACCGAAACACCTCTCATCGTTCGCCTAAGGGTTCCGCTAGCTAGCTTGCCAGGTGAAGTCAAAAGAAAAAAAAAAAGCAAAGTCCCTTTGCTCCGTAGCGCCGCTGGTGGGAAGAAAAAAATGTCTTGTTTCTTTTTTACGGGGTGGCCCTGGAGGCCAATCACTGGCGACTCGGATCCGGCCGTTGGTCCCAGCGACCTGGTGCGGCCGCGGTGAGATGTCGACCCTTCGGCAGAGGGTTGGATGGATATGGCCAATGCCGTGTAGACGCGTGCTGTGTGTCGTCCCTAGCGAGGGAGATGGGCATTGGAGCAGAACAAGACTGCAATGCGTCCGTGAGGCGGTATCGCCGTCACCTCGGCCGTCGTGTCGCCAGACGCCTCTCGACGGCCTGCCCTTGCCTTTGCCTCAACATGGCTAAATGGGATGCAGCGGTATTCCGTACGAGTACAAGCACGAGCACAAGCACGCATCTTCTCCACGCCTTCGTGTGTGCGAGTACGGAGTGGTGAAGGTTTAACCCAGGCCACGGCATGGCGAGGGCAAGCGTCCAAGGTACGTTGGATTTTTACATTCCAGTCTTCAAGAGGAGGTACGAAGATGGCACCATGCCCATGTCCATGTACAAAGTACTCCCTGCTTGGTACGTCAAAAAAGACCCATGCCAGCGGTCAAGCAGGGATAGCTCCTGCCCTTTGGGAGCAATCGCTGAAGCTGACCTATCGGAACTCACACAGCAAGGTACCTGGTACATGTTCCTGCGGGTCGCACAAATGCCTACCAAGTCTAGGGCATTACTAACGGGTGAGCCATTAATATGGACTCATGCCACTTGCAGCAGCCTCACTTACCTATACTAGTAGTGACTTTAGCATTGGCAAGGCCTTTTGGCAGCACTGCTTTGCTTTGACATGTCCGATGGCTTCGTGCTTCTTCAGCGTATGCCGGCGGACATGAGTTGAGTCATACACGTACTTGGTAAGACGCAGCTTTTTTATACAGGCCCTAGGCCGGAAGCGTCGCTGTCTGCAAAGGACGCCTTCCTCCTTGCTTCGTGTAACCCCTATGCAGCAGCATGAGCCCATCAGACCGGATAATCATGGGAGGAGGTCCCTGCAGAGCCAGGCCAGAAGCCGGGAAAAAAGAAGGATAGAAAACAAGAGAAAACTCTGTGGCGAAGAAAAAAAAAACACACACACACACACGGCGATCCACATCATGCAAATGCCCACTTCCACCTCCCTCAATCCCGGTCCCTTGGTGGCGGGTGAACGATGGGATGTAAGCCGACAGGTACCTCCTGAGCGGGCGGCTCCAATGCATCGGCAGAGGAAAGACAGCGAACAGGCGGCTCGGATGGTACTAACATTGGGGGTGGGAGAAGAGAGGCGAGGGAGAGAGCCAGCTGTTGTTGTAGTTCTCTGATATGACTTCAAGGTGTTGCCACAGGCTTGTCCAAAGAGCTGCTTCTTCGCTCATACCTCCTCCTCAGAGGGGAAGTGATAAACTTGATTCCCCCTCCTCTCATTCTCTGACTCGCCGCCGTATGCAGAGGGAAAATCCAAATGCCTGTGCAAATTCCCAGAGAGTTGACTTGTGCAAGTGTACGGAATAAAAGCAGGCTGGCCATGTAAGGCGGCCGCATGATATGCGGCCCTATAAGCGGAGGGGGCGTGTGCGTGAGGCCTGTGCCATTTTTGCAGAAAAAAAGAAGAAGAAAGACATTTGTTGCCTCTTCTTACATTAAAAGACTGCATATGTACGGCGCAATCGGTTGATGATCAAGGGCGACGCTTGTTGGAATATTGAGAGTCTTTTGGAGGGTCGGGGTAACTCCGCAGCAACTAATGTATTCATGCCATGTATCATTCGTAATCGGTTTCTCCCTGGACTCGGAGGTAAGGCTTCCACCTAGCAGAGCAGAAGGGGTCGTCCAGAGATATATCCAACAAGACTTGTATGACTCCAGGTGTTGGGGAGGAAATAGGTGAGGTGTTGCTCCAACCCACGCAACAGATGTCTGCGGACGCATCGGGCGGGATGCGGTAGGTACGTCCTCGCATCCATGCCGACGTGAATCTGTCCAAGAATATCAGCCCTCGATACAGAGTAACCCACCCTTGGTCCGGCGATGATGTGCAGAACTGCGAATGCGGTGTGGCGCAAGGCAGCCCCTCCCATGAGTCTTCATCCGAGACATGCTTCTTCAACTAGTGCTCCGGAATCTGTCGGCGGGCGGGCAGCTGCGTGTTGGCATCATCCTCTTGTAGACCCCGAAGAAAGGAATACATGGTATCACCTATAGCTCCAACTTACAAGTAGTACACATTCAAATTTGTCAACCGTCGTGTACAGGTACACTCCGCCTTGGGCATTATCGGGGCATCGAGGTGCGTCGCACAGACAGCCAGAGGGTCAAAAAAGACAACTTGCTACGAACAGAAGCTTGAAGACTTGGCAGACCATACCCTTGACGGGTAAATGAGTGTGGGGAACGAGTAACTAGCACGGAGGACTCCGTACATGCAATGCACGGCCGTCCAAACGAGGAGCCCTGCACCGTACTTGGTGCTGCTTCGGGATAGCCACCCCAGACGGCCTGCTTCGCGAAGGAATAAGCCCGAGCTACTTGTACAGCATTCAGATGCCACCTTTGGATCACTTTTCACGTGTGCGGGAGGTCGTGGGTCCTTCCATTCGAAGCGAGCGGCTGGAATCATGGTCCTGAATAAAAAAATATGTTGCTATGCTCTCAATTGATTCACGCACATGCTGGTTTCCTTGCTGAGCCGTCAACTAAGGAGAATAAGAAGAAAAGGAAAATTCATCAAGCGGTGGCGGATTCCATCGATCCACGGCTAAGCGGTCGGATCGTCCAAGAGAAACCCTGTTCACCGTCCTGTCCCTCGAAGGATCGGACAGTACTGCTGCTTCTGCTGCTGGTAGTGCGTCGTTGCATAGTGCTATTGGCAGCCCATCGCTCGACCCACTCAACTGCCATCTCAACACGTCCTCTTTTCAACGACTCAAGATCAAGGACTGTATCTAACCCCCTGAGGGACACGTGATTATAGCATGTGGTTAACCCTTATCGTGCGCGAGTGCATGCTTCCTCAACGGCTTGTAGAGAACAAATGACTGGACAAGTATCGGGTTAGTGCTCTTTGAATGCTCCGCTAGAATGGGTAAGCAGCGTCTTGCTATGTAATATCGAATAACCGCGTTTTACCCCATTACAATTAGAAGCTCTCCTTCGATAAGAAGTAACTTCGAATCTCATCGACTCTGTGTTGAGGAATTGCGTAGACGGGATGGGTAGTCGCAATCCGGTCTTCTTCGTCAAAGATTTGGACTCCGTTTGTGTGAGGTGACGCCTCCCAGCGATCGTCTCCGAGAAGGGTTTCATCGGCACGAGAGGCAACCAAACGCCACTTGGTTTGTGCGGAGCTGAGCCCGGATAGAACGTAGCATGAGTGATACGCGTCCGAGTACCTGTGGGCAAAAAAAAAAGGCATCAGTGTGATTGCTCTGCAAAGTCTCGCCCTCAGGAAAGGGAGCACCCACTTGCTAGGTTTGTCCCTCAAGCCACCCCTCTTAGACATGTCCTGACAACAGCAAAGGATGTATCGAATCAAACCATTCCGGCTGAACAAGCTGTCGTCTGCATCGGTGGCTTCGAGCGGGCGACCTGCAGGGCCAGCTGTCGGCCCCTCAGGCCCGCTCAGACTGGCCTCGATCAGGGGCCAACATCCGCCAACCCAGTGGCTATAACAGCCGTCGACAAGCTTGTTCGTGCGGCCTGAAAAGCCACCTTCTGGAGCATACTGGCGAGATGAGAGCCAAGAGATAAGACGTGGCACATCCATGTACCTGTCGCGCCGGGGAACGGGTCAGAAATGCAAAGCTCTCATGGCACTGCGTCAATAGACAGCACCCTAGATTGAGACACTTACCGTCTAACGCTTCGGTGTGGGGAATCAATAATTGAGAGACATCCTAGAGCGCAAAAGGCGTATGCGCCATGCGCCTCGATCCCGTGTTTTGCTGACACGCCTCCCTCGTACGTCTGGCCTGAATTTTTTTCATTCTCGTTAGACAGAGTGGGCAATCAGGACGGGATGGTCGGAAGACATGTCCGGGGAGAAAGACAACTTACACAGCCGTACCCATTCACCCAGCCCACTAAAGAGATCAGTGTGGCCGGCGGCATACGCAGGAGATTCGGGCGACAGGTTCAAGGGCAAGTTGAGCAACGAAACCACAACAGCCGCACAGTAGGCCCCCCTGAGCGAGACGTCAGTTAACAGCCTGGTATCACAGCGTGGGCGTGCCGATCAGAGACATACCTGACATCCTCCTCACCCCCGACAGCCATCTGGAACCCACCGTCCGGCTGCTTTAGTTGGCACAACCACTTCCACATGCTTCTCCTGTCAACCACCTCGAACGCTTCGTCCCCACCAACCAGTGCCAGCGCAAGAATAACTGCATACGTGGTGGCGAGGTGTGAGGCCTGGCCGAAACCCCCTCCGAATCCACCAGTTTCGTTTTGTATCGGACGCACTGTCTCGACCAGCTTGGCGCGATAAGGCTCAACATCCTCACCAAGGAGAGACAGGGCATTCAGGCACCAGTAGAATATCCACGGCCGGCTTGGGTCCGCTCCGACGTATGCGCCCGGCAGCACTCCTAGCTGCTTTGTGAGAAACCTTGCATGCCGTTCCTTGTCCAGGCGAGGGATGCCATGGGAGTTGAGGTAGCGGTGTTCTTTGCCAGTCAGGAAGGGCAGACACTCGTCGACGGTTTCATCCTGGATGTGAGACGAGTCCGTCTCCAGCGCATCGCGAATCGGGGGAGGCTGCGTGAAGAGGCTGGGCACGGGTGAATCAGAATCAGACGCGTCTTGGGATACGCCATGTGCCGCCGGGCCTGGCTGTTGCTGTTGCTCCACGGCTGCGGCCATGTTTCTCAGATGATGCCTAAAGATTACTCGAGGACGACTTCGTAAATGTGCTCGAGATTTCATCATGTGGACTTCAGGGCCTTGTCATCTTTTTAGCAGGACAGCAGACGTCAACCCCGCTCATCCTCCCACGTTGCTTGTGCTTGGAGCTATTGACAATCAGCCCGCGAACGGCACACTCGGTATCAACTCAATGGTCAGGCCGTAACAGAACAATGGGAAAAGGAAGTCGTAGCCAGACTATTGTTGCCGGCAATATCCCGGGTAGCAATTTAGCGCCCCCTCTCTCCGCAACACCCACTTTCTGGTGCAAGCGTTGTTAGATGGGCTCCAATATAGTGAACCCAACGTCCTAGCTCTGCCGAGGCTGAAAACACGCGGCTGGGCGTTGGCAATGATCAATGTTGTTGATCTTCCCGAATTGGTTGGAACCGGGCAATGTAGGTCTGCAAAATACAACCTCCAGTTGCGCCATCATCACGCCGCCGAGGACTCTGGCTAACGGGCTCAAGGATGATAAACGAAACCTTGAACTGAAACACATTGTTCAACGATGTGGTGGCTTTAGCCTTTAGAGTCTAATCGTTAGTGGCGATCCCTTGAATGGCATTCAAACGAGATTTGCTTGGGCTATTCGGGACATGACTGTAACCTTAGATCTGAGGAGACCTATTCGGGTTGCGCCTCTGTCAAGACATCTCTTCTTACAGCCTCGTCACCACCACTGAAACCCTTCATTTTCTCTGGAGAAGGCAACATTTTCATCAGGGGTCGCGGCTGTTAAGGAGTTGCCCATTCTCTTGCTGGGCTGCCTGTTACAGTATCTCTGTTTGTTTCATACACATTGTATTTGTAAACCCAGATGATTACCGATGTCCGTTTCAAATCTAGACGGCACATCCCCTGTTGATACTACTACACTCCGCAAGCATCTATTTTGTTAGCTTGGTACTTTTCTTAATGCGAGTGGCAAGTTGATGACAATGAGAACCAAGCTAACAAAATAGATGCTTGGGGGGTGTACTATCGAGAAGTTGATACACAATGCCTGGCTATTGACTAACCAGTCAGCTGGGAAATATGAACGGCGATGCCCGTCACTCGGTGCTACTACTCATCGGCAATCGTAGTCCTACAGCTTACAAAGTGGTAGATCCTAGTCTCAGCAGGCCATGGTCTGCTACTAGCAATACTTCCAGAAGACCAGTCTGCATCTTCCATCTACGAGCTGAGAGTCCCGGACACAATCCGGATTACTCTGCTGCTTTGTACGATGAGACATCAACCATGTTCCGTTCGCCGAATCGCACGATGACACTTCGCTTGGATGGACGGATGGCAGATGGCCCTTGACAGCCGGGTCTCGAGTCATGATTCGGCGGGGGGCAAAGCAGCTTCTCGGCCGATTTATCCTCAAGGGGTGCTGGTGTCAGGAATCATGATTCTCAGGAGACAATATATACTCCGATCTTGTTCGTGCTGACGGGACCCTGATATTATGCAGGATTCAAAGTCTAACGGCCAGGGCTGAAAAGCACTAGAGCCCCCCCTGAACCGATGATCATACTCGGCCTGTACTGGTGTAGAATAACTCATGGAATATCATGGATCAAGCAACATTGACCTAATACTTGTAGCCCTGTTAAAAGCTGGGCGAGGCGCAGAGTGTTTTTAGAAAATGATCATGCAGCAAACAACTCTGCCAATCAACCGTCACACTGGGCGACTTCCGCCGCAGACAGGACGGAACAAGGTCTGTGGATCACACATCGTGACATATCATCATGGGCAGACCATTCAATCAAGCTTTTGGCACAAATACTCCGTAGCAGCAGGTGGCAAGCATATCATGAATGTGGGAGCATGGTATCACGCGCCGCCGAGTGTTGTCGTCGGCTGTGCAAGGGCCCTCGTCGGCTCTTGGCGGGCTTCTCTTTTGCCTTGCCTTGGTGCTCCCAGATCTTCCAAAGTGGGTAATGTGATCTTGTGTCTCGGACAACCGAGGGCAGGATGTAACACACATCAACAGCCTGAGGCGGGGTTGGGCCGGAACACGTTCGCCGAGGAAGGCATTTCCGCACTCTTTGTTGGCTATTTACTCCGTACTTAGCACTGCGTCCGGCTCAAGTATCTCGGCGGGTCCTTTCAATGCTCTCTGCCCATGGCGAGGTTTGGCGTAGCGCTCTGACCTTGCTTTCTCCGGTGGCTGGCGATGGGTCTTCCAGGGGTGCCTGCTAGCTGAACATCGCAGCGAAAATAGTACGAGATCGTGCTGTCTAGCCTGCCCAAACAGAGCACGTTTGAACACGCGCTGCAGCTAAGAGAGAGAGAGAAAGAGAGAGAAGAGAAAAAAGCAGGGTACTCCGTAGGCCATGGAGCAACGCTGTGCAGTAGCAGGGGGTTATGGCGGTTGGGCAGCGGAGCGCTTGCGGCAGTCGAGGAATTGGTAAAAAATCAGGCGAGGAGTGGCCGTCGACGCATCAAGAAGCTGCCCGTTTGGAGCCATGCAAATGCATGACAATTGCCAGCACTAGTAGAGCAGCGCGTACCGCAACTCAGCGTCTTGTCCATGTACTCGTATGGAGCTCTATCGGCAACGGCGTTACGGAGTATAAATTTTCATCGGCTAATGGTGAGGCTCAGATGTTGGTCTTGAGACTAGCCGTCGGTAGTGTTGTGTCGCTTATTATCAGCTAAGGCAAGTCGAGTGGCTGGCGTATGGAATGCAGAGAGAGCCTTTCATGTTTGATGTACGAGTATGTGAATCCTCCAAGCCCAGCTGAGGTGTCATGATGATGAAGACTGACTAAAAAGGATTGAGCATCTGATTCGGCCGTCACCGAGGGCCAGGTCAGCAGTTTTCTACCGGACTCGTGCTACTGGCAGCTCACCATTTGCTGGGCAGATACTCGGTCGAATAGGCCTGCTTCCTGCATCGTCAAGCGGGCCAACAGACGACGGGGAGGACGGTATCTATCCGAAGGCCAATACGCCAACCCTCCCCTTGCCTTTTTAAATAAGTCCCGAGTCTCTACCTTTGTGCAATGGTCCGGCCAATGCCCACAACCAGAGTTAACCCGATGCAGCAAAAGAGATCAAGCACTCTAAGGCACATGGGACACCCGCATGCATATCTTAATGATGATCGATCGCCACAGTGTAGGTGAATACCGATCTAGCTGGATTCTGCTTGGGCGGCACATCATTCCTGCAAGGCCTCGCCGTAGGGGGATATGTATGTCTCGGATTCAGTGTTCTCCCAGCCCGGGCATTGTGTAGGTTAAACGGCTTTAGGCAGGGGAGGCGAGGCTGGGGCATTGGTTTGGCTCAGATGTCCGCCGTCCATGTATCGAGCGATGTGTGTGTTAGTCGTAGGTAGTATCACAGGGCATAGTGTCTCGGCATCCTGCTCCCCATGCATGTATGTACGAGTACCTGCTCCGTACACAGGATTGATTCTGCAAAGGTTGGGTTCGACGGCAGACCTTGGCCATTGTTACATCACGCTGCCCGACTGGCCGGCGGCTATGGCGAGGGCCGCGGCAAAAGGGAATCAATGCTTTCCGTCCGAACGACGGTGGCACTGGACGGACGCACTCGATTCGTGCCGCCCGCATTACACGTAGCAGAGCAGCAGATCTATCGAGTCTGGCCGTGGTCGGTGATAAGGGTTTAGCTGGAGCCTTAGCTGCTTTGGTGTGCACGCCACAAAATGACAGCGCATCACTCCTATGCGCAGCTCGACGGGCAATGCATCAGCGGCGGCGACGGCCAGCGAGTTATAGGATGGCATGTGTACGAGGGGGGGGCTCCCGGGACTCTGGGGACGGATGGGGCGGCCAACCAGGGTCGCAAGCCGCCGCCTGAATCGAGGGAGAGGCGCTCGTTCTTGATTTCTCAGGCTGTGTTTCGGTTGACCCATGGCGGGAGATACTATTGGATTCTTAGTAGGTCAGTATCATAAGCTAGACGCTCGTCAAGCTGGGGAATCACCCTGTCCAGAAGCCGAAACGAATCTGCTGCGAAGGCAAACAGTGCCGCCGTGTATCCACTCAGGCCTCTCTCTCACATTTTTTCTCACATTTTTTCTTTACACTTTTTCTCTTCTTACTTTTCCGATGAACCCTTGCTGCAATGGAACCTTGACAAGGGAGTCCAGGTGGGGGGAGACGCCGGAGCTTGATGTGGCTCGCTCGAATCGTGTAGTACTAGCAAGTTGGACCACGGGGGCAATATACGATGTGCTGTCTGGAGTAGCACTCGTATGTACGTATCGTACGGAGCGCATGCGCAGTGTGAGGCGTTTGTTCGTATTTGGAAACGTGCCAAAGACGTGGCAGCCCAGATCTGGCAGAGGCAGAGACGAAGGACTTCGGATTGAAACGCCGTTCCTTGGTGTGCGCGAAATGACGGCATTGGGACAGTGCAAATAGTACCTAGCCAGTGGTCGAGAGTCAGTCATGATGCCGGACCTCGCTCCGTTTCTGCGCAGCCAAAACGATCCATGCTGCTGTATGTAGGTACTTGCAGCGCTTCTTCTGGCGATGGGCTTCGCTGCGATGCTTCGTCTGGCGTTCTATCGGCACAGTAAACGACGGGATCTCCGCTAGATTAGGTTAGGCTAGCAGAGGGAAGAGTCAAGCCATGGCTGGGCCTGTCGCGGTGGCACGAAGCACAGACGAGAAGCTGTAGGTAGTAAAACGGCTGCTAGTGCCAGTATCGTACTGGCTGGAGTCGTAGCATCATGACCAGCATGATGATAGCCTCCTTGTCCTGGTCTCTAGCAAGGACCCCTCGGATCCTTTCTCTCCTGCGGTGTCTCGCCCCGATGCCCCTCCTGCTCCGATCCGTGCGGGCAGCGCGCTCCGACACTGTGCGCGGCGCGGGCGAAGCGAAGCAGAGCAGCAAATGGCGCCATTGTCGCTCGGACGTGGCCAAGTCATACTGTCCCGGCGGCGACACAGTGCATTGTTTGGCTCCGATTGGGCCCTGGGGTCTGCGCCGTGGCCCTGTAGCGCTCTGTCCCCCTTCTGTGGCTCCCTGGGGCCCTCGCTGTGGCCCTCGCTGGATCGCCGGCCGGCTGCCCCCACACCTGTGCAGCTGCAGATGTGCCTTGGCGGCGCCCATTGGCTGCTCGTCCCGGCCCGGGGCTGGGCGACAGAGCTCACCGCCTCTTCAGGCCCCCGCTCGCGATGCCTCCAAATCATGCCAACCCGCCGACCACCCACTCCAACGTCCATCCATCTCCTCAATCCCATCCATCCATCCACCACCTTGCCAGACTGTACAGACCACCACCACGGCACAGTAACACCACGGTAGCGCTGCTTGCTTGCTGTGTGTTCTGACTAACTGACTGACTGTCTGGGCGCCGGAACCTGCCAGCGGCTGTTCGTCTAGGCCTAGGCACCCGAGAAAAGAAAAAGAGCGTCCCGTAGCGCCTTATCCAGCTGGCCTGCAGCAAACCGTTTCGTTTCTCTTCGCACCCCGGACGCTTCCCTCTTCTTCCTTTTTCCCATCTCTCCCCGCCGTAATCCTGATCATCCCTCAACGCACCGAGCGTGCCACTTGCCAACATCACGAAAGAGCGGTGTCATCGGCTCAACCTTCATACAATACGCCCTTTGCTCGCATCCAAGCGGAACGCTTGACTGTTCCTCTCCTCTTCTCTCCCAGAATGACCCTCGACTACAATGTCAACGGCGGGGGCGATGCCTTACTCGATCTGACCTTTGAACAGCACCAGCGGGACCGGGCTGCTGCGTATAGCTACTCAACCACAACCACAGCTCACTCGAGTCCAGGGCCTGCGTCCAACCTCGTCACTGGTTCTTGGTCTCTTCCCATCGACATGAACGCCAATGCCCACAACTCGCCTCCGGGAGCTCGAGGCAGCTCCCCCGAGGAATTCCACCCAAACTCGCCTCTCTCACACATGTCCAGCCCTCACAGCCAGCACTCGCCGCTGCAGCACTCGCCCTACCAGCAACACACGAACCCTCTAACCGACTGGGCTCTTCACCACCATCAGCAACAGGCGGCTTCCGCTGCGCAGCACCAGACTTTGCCCGCTCACGACTTGACACATTACATCCAGGAATCTACGCTGTTGAACTTCAATGCCTTTCCCGGCTACCACCCTCTCGAATATCTACCGGCGACGACGCAGGCTGCGTTGCAGACTCATTTGCTCGAGTCGCCCTTTAGCTCGATGCCTGCCTTGGATGACAACGCACACGCAATGCACTGGGGAGGCGCAGGAATGGGAAATTGGCAAGACTTTCAAAACACTCTGCAGCTCGAGGGTCTGCCAACTGTTGGCAGCAATTCGCCCACTGGAACTTATCTTGAAGTCCTCTCCCTGCCATCCTCGTCATCCGGCGATGGGTGGGCAATGGTAGACTGGGGACATCCTGGCCATGAGCTATTTCAGCCCGCCCCCAGTGCCGCCATTTTCAACCCATCGCAGACACTTCATCTGCGAACCAACTCTGATTCTTCAGACGGTGGCAACTCGGTCGAGGTCGGTAGCTTCGAGGAAATCCCCCCCTTCCCTTCGCCTTTCTCACCAGACTCTGATGGCCAGGCGGACAACCACAACGGACACCGAAATTGCTATTCTGCCGACGGTCACCACCACAGCCATGACAACGGCCATAGCCATAGCCATAGTCATAGCCACAACCATAGCCCTACCACGGTAGCTGCCCCGGTCCCCATCAAGGGCGAGTCCTCCACCCGCCACAGCCCCGGCAGTGGAGCAGGCTCAGTGTCTCCCTCTTCGTCCAGCACCACCTCAAGGAGGAGCGCCGGCGCGGGCATTCGCAAGAGCCCAATTGCCAAGACGCCCAAGACCGTCGTCAGGCGCATCTCCAACGGAAAGAAGGATGGATCTACCGAGAAGAAGGTTGGCCGCAGAAAGGGCCCTCTTTTGCCAGAGCAGCGAAAGCAAGCCAGCGAGATAAGAAAGCTTCGTGCTTGCCTGCGATGCAAATTCCTTAAGAAGACTTGCGATAAGGGAGAGCCCTGCGCTGGATGCCAGCCGTCCCACGCTCGTCTCTGGCAAGTCCCCTGCACTCGAATTGACATCAAGGACATTGGCTACTTTATGAAGGACTGGAAGGCCGACTATGAGAGGCACATGGACCGTGGAGTATCTGTCTACAACGTCAAGGGCTTCGCCCAAAAGGAGACTCTAATGTGGATCACCCACGGCTATGGCTTTGCCCTGCCTGTCATGGTTCGCGAGGTCTACGTCGCCGACGACAGTTGCTTCTCCGTCGAGTGGGTCGAGTCGTATGTCACCACCAACGACACGATTGACTTTGAGACTCGTACCGAGAAGCTCGACGTCGGTGCCGAGGGCATCCGCATTGATGCTCTCTCTGAGTATCTCGACAAGCACATTGAGGGCCCCTTTGAGGACTTCATTGACGACCACTTTGAGGGCACTCCCTTCATCACCGAGATCCTCAAGACTGCTCACCGATACTACGTCAAGGAGAAGATGCCTGTCATCCGAAAGGCCCTTAAGTTGGTCCTTGCTTACAACTTGACTATGCACATCACCATGGTTGAGAGCCAGGGATCCGAGATGCCGCTTGACGGCCAGATCGACGATGAGGACTCCAAGTACTATGGTCGCACCGTTGCGCCTGTCATGATCAACTTCCAGATTAAGTGTGCTCTGGCTGACATGTGGCGCGAGCTTCAGAAGGACATCCTGGAGGAGCTCTCTGCTCTCTACTCGGGTGTCTACAGCGGCGAGAAGATGAAGAACTGGCCCACCATCTTCCTCCTGGCTTCCATCCTCCTGGCTGTGTGGGAAGAGATGCAGTTTGACTGCCACTACCGCGTTCCCGACCCCGTGGCGGTGAACAAGTTCTGCAACGACATGGAAACCACCCCTGTCGGTGTTATTGTGGGCCTCTTCCACGCCATCTCTCAGAAGCTCCCAGCCTTCACCGACTGGGACACCCGTGAGCACGGCCACCTGCTTCACAACAATGTCGCCGTCTGTGATGCCATGACCGAGGTGCGACAACATGTCATCAAGCATGGTAAGTTTGCTCACTTGTGCTCCATCAAAATATGGTTACGTGAGTGGTACGGTATGCTAACGAACCTCACAGAGGCTTACTTGCGAACTCGGAGAGAAGCCAAGTTTGACCGCTATGATTTTGATTCGCTTTCAAACAAGTTCTTGTCGAAGCTTGTTATTCGGGCTAACTAATAGAGGGTTCCTAATTGTTTGTTTGTTTCATCTTTTCCTTGCTGTGTATGGGGCCGGGCTCAAGTAGACGCGCTCGTCACCATCATTTCCTTCACGACTTTCTTTTTACACGAATCTTTTACGGTCATTCAGCGACGGCGTTGTGATAAGATTCTCTGCATAAATCTTTGAGGACGACTTCTCAGCTCGCCATCTTACTTCACCTTAGCGTTTCTATTCTCTTCATTGGTTGACCGCCGCCATACAACACGACGGTATTGCGGAATGTCTTACGAGCTTGATATGACTTTCTTCCACGAATGTATGATTTGAAGAAGAAGAACTCTCCTTTCATCCCTATCTCTATCTATCTTTACATTTTGGTTTTTTACTCCATCGGGCAGCTCATCATTCAACACGGGAATTTGCGATTTGATTTGATTTTTTTTTTGCTTTTTGCGGCGGAGAGGTGGAAACTCTCGGTTATGTTCGTTATGGGATCATGTTGCATGATGTAGTGCTATGGGAATCTACAGACGAGTGGTTATGCAGCATAGACGAACATGCATGGTATTTAGGCGCCTTGGGCCGCGGCCATTGACCTGGCCTTGGATGGAGCGGGATGATTTGACATGATGCCTTGACCAGTTAGGCAGTTGGGTGCGATGGCTGGGAATGCCACGAATAAAAAAACGGCTTTGACTATTGTTAATGGAAGCAACTGTTTCTCCTAATGAAGTTTGTCTTGATCAGTGATTTACATTTGTTTGTGTGAGTAAAATTACACAGCCTTGCTGTAGGCAGAGTTGCTCCACCGCCACATGTCTGAGCTATGGTTTGTGGTAGCTTTGCCCCTGTTCCCTTCACCGAGGACTTAATTCACTGAATGATACACCGGGACACGGATGAGGGTGGGGATTCCATTTGAAGACGATCACTTTATGAAATGTTCAATCGCTATAAAGAAAGATAAGGGCGTGGATACTGGAAAGAAGAGGTCGTGTTTCTTTCAGTAAGCTCCGGCTTCATCGAAGAAGCAGGCGGGAAGCGGTGTGTATCATGTTGGTGAGGTTAGAAGTACTATTCCTATATTTTGCTCTGCAGAAGGAGCTAATTGCTTAGTACCATAGAGACATGTACAGACATCTGAGTGATCATTCTTTAATGGGATGCAATCGTTTGATTGAGCTTTGTTGGACGTAACGGCACTTATGTAGAATGGTGTTATGGATATCACATAGACTAGATAGTTGTCGAATGGGTAAGTTGTTATGGCGATATTGGATAATTTTGCCTTCATTTGAGGTTTAAAGTCTAGGATAGTGGAGAAATTACAGGATAACTTGCTGCTTGACCACATCATCTCATTCTTCAAGTTCTGTTGGTGGAGTGGAGCGGATTCTGAGGGTTTGGCAGCCTACCCTGCATATCAGCGAGACTTATTTACCAACTCGCCAAAAACGGAAAATGTACTTTGATACGTTGAAGATGAATTTGAAAGATGAATATATTTAACTTTCTTTTCATTTCTGGCGAGATACACTCTACTCTTCAACTTAGGGAGTTTGTGGCAGCACTGCGTAGGGCAGAAGGAGAAGTGATGCCTCGATGGTATTTTTTTTTTAGACGTAGCTGTTCATTTGAAGACATGTCAAATTGGCCAAGAAACACACCTCGAAATGAATTAAGAGATGAAGCGTAACCAATGAGCAAGTATTTGAATGAAGAAGAGACGGCCAAGTGAGGAATAGTGTTGAGTCATAGGAATGAAGGAGAGAGGCTCTGAGGATGGACCGAAAGTATCAGGGTCCAGAATCTGATATGTTCATTGCCAGTTTAACTATCTGTGAAGGTATAGGCTGAGATACGTGAATATGCTACGAAACATCTTAAGAGAGACAACGGTATCTTTGAAGCGTAACTGAGAAGAGGACTGCGAGTCTACACTGGAGGCGGAGGAGGGCGATTTCAGTATGATACCCATTAACGCTGTCACCTGGCGGCCAGGAGAGAGGTGCCTTGGTGTGCTCATGCACCTGCTCTGCTTTTGTCTCATGCACTCCCTCGTGATCTTGATAGCCTGAGGCTGAAAAGAGCCTGAGCCCATCTATAAATCCCATGCAGCTGCTCTCTGCTTTCTCTTCCTCTTAACATCACATCGTCTTCGACCTTTGATACTACCCGTCCGTCAAGAACCGCCCTTTTTAGTCGAAACCTTCTTATTATAATCATTCTACTTCAACTCAACTCAAGTTCTCAAGATGAGTAAGTCGGATATGAACGATTTGCCCCAGGAGGTGGTTCTTGAGAATGCATGCTTATTTCAACCAGGTGCAGATGCCACCGCCCAGACTGATGCTCGCCCATCTCTCATGGGTAGTATCTTGGAGGTCAAGCCATCGAAGCGCAAATCGCCCATGGTTGAGGGAGCATACTACTCTGAGGCTATCGCTCTTCTACGAAGCCTCCCGAAGGCTACCCACCTTGTTTGGTCCGACTTGGAGTTTGACCTAATAGAATCCACTACATCTCGGAGATCAAAGTCAGCCTTGTACCAGAAGCTTGAGAAAGCGTGTGCGGAAGAGGATATGGACTGGAAAGAATTCGATTTCATCAAGACAGCCTGTCAGCATAGGCCAAAGATGATAGAAGTTGGGGATGCTGCGGTCCTTCTATATAAGCTAATGGGTGTTCGTGGAAGAGATCAGCCGTTCCAAACGACAGAATACCTCTACAGTGAAGGCCTTACTAAGGATGAAGAATCTGCCGGATCAATATTTCTGTTTCTAGGCTTGCTCAAGTTTGTCCAGGGGTTCATGTGCGAAGATCCGTCTTTCTGGTATACTAAGCTGCGAAGCAAGTGCCGGCAGATGGAAAACCTCCTGGAGAAGAACAGAGGAGCCCCCAAGATGCGGCGGTTTATGGAACTTTGGGACAAGACTGCTGGTAACGGGAATGAGGACGACTGTGATGAAATTGGTGACAAGGCTGAATCGTCAAGCCAAAAAAGGTGCCGCATCAAGACTGAGGGATCGAAATAGCCCCTAGCAGGCGCTTGAGGGGAGCTGGCTCAGTGAGGTTTGTATGGCCACACAAAGTTCTTATACAAGACGAAGCAATGGGTAGCATTTCAAACGGGTTGAGATATCTGTGCTGCAGAGGCCGCCGCTCCACCAGGAACATGGAGTGAAGGTGGCTATGAGATGTCAAGCACAGTAAATGGAGCGGTAGCAGCGAAACAAGAAAAAAAGGGAGAAACGAAAGGTGCGTACATGACACGCAGACTCAATTTGATACGAGACTAATGGACAAACAGAGAAGCGAACATTTCGAATCACACGTCGCTGGTCGCCTACGACTTTATTATTCGGGAGAGAAAAGAGTGGCACGAGAAAATGGTGATCGGGAAGGTATGGAGTTTGGTTGCTTATAGTCTGGGGAATTTGCTATTTCTTTTGCTTTTTCTCCTCTATCACGCTACATGGACTGGTTTCTTTTCAACACATCAAGTTGCTTTTCATATTTAATTTTTTTTTTACTTTGACTTTTAGGCGGAGGTTACCCTAAAAATGGAATTGCAATATGCGATGGAATGGTTTATCTTGAGGCAGACTCCTTTTATGGCTGCTATCAGTATTAAACTTAGCTGATGGTTGAGATTCTATATGTATCTCGGCGGCACCTTTGAGTTGCTAAGGATTTCCTTCCACTCTCGCTATAGGTAGCTCTACAATTCAAAAGTTTGCGTTTTTCACATCATGAGAAAGCAGATCTGCGAAGTCATTTGTCTAGAGAGATCGTCAGGCTCCTCTTCAGCTTAGCTCCAGTGGCCCTGGATCTAAAAATACGGAAGAGCGTTGAAAAAAACAAGCTTTGCGGGTCTTCTCGATTCAGCTCGAGCTGTTAGTCTCCGCACTCCATCGAGTACAGCTGCTCCGTCAATAGATCAATCTAAGCGAGGGAGAGAATCACTTGTTGATCTGCCCAAAAAACTCAAGATCTGCCTAATTGAGCACTAAAAGGGTGCCGCGTTTAAATTGGGCTCAGGAACAAAAGGTTGTTGTTGGACGATCTACGCTTGCTACGGTATCTCGTCGAATATCGTGAATGGCTTCACCAAGGTCAATGTCCGAGAAAGAGAAGAGCCGCTCGATATGGCCGGATCCTTGAGAAAGGGAGAAACATTTGGGTGAGACACTTGCCCATGTGCCCTTTGATCGCCCGTTCCTTTGTCGGCGTCTCTTTCAAGTTTTTCTTCAGCAAATGTCTCACAACCATTGGCTGCTACGCTCATTGCTGTCCGATGCCATCAAAGGCCGTTATCGTGCAATCGTCAAAGCGACGGTTCGTGAATCCCCACCGTCACTGGCCAGGCCCCGCCCGGTTGTTGCGCGAAACAAAAGTCTGGTGTCTCGGCCCCTCCAGAGGTTCGAAATCGCGGAGGTGATGCAATCGCTGCATCGGACCCTGGCTCGTATGACGAAAACCTGATTCTGGCGGCAGAAGATTCTTTTCCTGTTCCTGGACCGGCGCTGGCGCTTTGGAAAGGAGTGAATAAGCCATCCATGCTAGTAGCGGTAGTAGCAGATTGCGAGTTGCGCGGTAATTTGTCGTTCGAAGCTGCAGCCCAATCTAGATGCAGCCAGAGAAGGGCCCTCGAGATTGCAGATTTGATTTGACGTCACTGACGCTGACCGCTGGTCTGATAACGCGATGCTGCATCCGAGCAACTCCGTCGCATCATCCGCATCTCGGGCGAAAGGCGGCATCTCTGGCGTGCTGCAGTGAATTGATGCATCGAGTCGTAAAGAAAAAGAAGAGCCAGCTGAGGTGTCAAAGACGATGCACAGCGCGGCTATTGACTCACCTTTTTGTATTCTCCGCGTTTTGCCTCCCTCGCCCTTGTAACGATTAGACTATCGCCACTGGACGCTGCGCAAACAGAGCACAGCACAGGGAACAAGAGGCTGGGCAGCGCTTCACCACAACTGTAATGTACAGCGGAGACAGAGGGACAAGGAGGGGCGCGGATGACACGCCAGCCGCCTCCGCTATTGGTCACAGCCCGGCAATAAGCCCCACCGTGTTTTCGATAGGGTCACTGCCTTGGTGCTTAGTGGCAGCGATTTATCCGGATGCGGGCCCACAGGTACATCGAGTCCCACCGGGCAGCTGCGCGCGGTCGAGGTACCGGCAGCACCTCGCCTTCCCCGGACGGTTCTGGAGCCTTCTCGGGGCCTTTGGCGTCTTTGGCTGATGAATCATGGCCGCTTGCTTGCCACACGCACCCGGGGCGAGTGCGAGTACGAGTACCGTACCAGTGACCTCCTGCAAGGCGGCGAGATGGGGCGCCCAGCTGGTCACTGCACTGCGCCTGTCCCCTCGCTCGGCCTTGCTGAAGCGTCACCGCCCCCCCTTCAGGCTGCCACCTCCCTCTCTTCTCGTCCCTACAAAAGGACCTCTTGCCCGTCAGCAGCCATTTGCACATTCTTTCTCTTTTCCCTCTCCCACACCACACACAACCACTTCTCTCATCTCTTCCACCCTAAGGAACATCCGTTAACAGCGCATCTTGTTGCCCTCTCTACGAATCTTCCAGCGGCCGCAGCTTAATCCGCCACCATGCAAATCTTCGTCAAGACCCTCACCGGCAAGACCATCACCCTCGAGGTCGAGTCTTCCGATACCATCGACAATGTCAAGTCCAAGATCCAGGACAAGGAGGGCATTCCTCCTGACCAGCAGCGTCTGATTTTCGCTGGCAAGCAACTCGAGGATGGCCGAACTCTGTCCGACTACAACATCCAGAAGGAGTCTACCCTCCACCTGGTTCTCCGCCTTCGTGGTGGTATGCAGATCTGTAAGTTATCTGGTCCAGCCTTTCTATTCAACCGACTGTGACTAACAACGTCCTCTAGTCGTCAAGACCCTCACTGGAAAGACCATCACTCTCGAGGTCGAGTCATCTGATACCATCGACAACGTCAAGTCCAAGATCCAGGACAAGGAGGGTATCCCTCCTGACCAGCAGCGCTTGATCTTCGCCGGCAAGCAGCTTGAGGATGGCCGAACCCTCTCCGACTACAACATCCAGAAGGAGTCCACTCTTCACCTTGTCCTTCGTCTCCGTGGTGGTATGCAGATCTTCGTCAAGACGTTGACCGGCAAGACCATCACATTGGAGGTTGAGTCATCAGACACCATCGACAATGTCAAGTCAAAGATTCAGGATAAGGAGGGTATTCCTCCGGATCAGCAGCGTCTTATCTTTGCTGGCAAGCAGCTTGAGGACGGTCGCACCTTGAGCGACTACAACATTCAGAAGGAGAGCACACTTCACCTTGTCCTCCGTCTTCGCGGTGGTATGCAGATTTTCGTCAAGACCCTGACCGGCAAGACAATCACCCTCGAGGTGGAATCTTCCGACACTATTGACAACGTCAAGTCCAAGATTCAGGACAAGGAGGGCATTCCTCCTGACCAGCAGCGCTTGATCTTTGCTGGTAAGCAGCTGGAAGACGGTCGCACCTTGAGCGACTACAACATCCAGAAGGAGAGCACGCTGCACTTGGTGCTGCGTCTTCGTGGTGGCCAGTAAAAGGTGCCTTTTGCTTTCGACCGCACTGTTATGACTGAATTGGACGGTTGGGCGTTTTCGGGATTTTTATTTTAAAGCAGATATGGGAACTTGACCATTCGCTGGTCATCATAGTTTATGATAGCACATTTCAGCGTCACCGATACCACGGTACGCGGCAATACACCTCTGACTGTCAACATTGACAAGTCGCAAACAATATCAATATTCTCTCCTTTGTGAATTTTAGTGAAATGAACTCGATACCGCACCGTAGCAAGCCGTGATTGAGAATCAGGCCATGGCGGCTATAGTAGTTATCACGTATGCACATATTGGAGCGGTTGCGGTTAGTGGGGTAGGCGTCAAGGTAGAGCCGCCACTTGACTTGCGGCTTCGTGAAGCTTCCAGCGATTCGTCACCTTCCTCCACCAGCTCTTTAAAATGTGTCTTTTAACCTGACATTGATGCTCGATCGGCGTCGCCATGTTAACGTATCGGCTCTCCTCGGCCTGTTTCAGAATTACACATTTTTTCCCGCCTTGATACCTTGATATTGGTACTCGACTCACCCTCGGCTTCTGGCTCTCCAAATTTCATCCTTGCAAACTTGTCTCTCCATTATCCCTACTGCAACTTCACCAGGTGGCGCATCGTACTCGAACAGCCTTATGGGGGTGCCGAAAACGGCGGCTTGGAGATGACTTCGTTTTTTTTCCACATCAAATTCGAGCTTTATCCGACCGAAAACCCTGCTGCCGGACAAGACACATTTGCGGCGCAGAACAGCCGAGATATTTGGTTTCCGTCCAACGAATCCAGCATTTTTGACGACCTTCCGGCCCATCCCCCACCTCATCGATCGGCGGCGCGCAATACAGACCTACCAGATAGAAGTAGACGGATATCTTTTGGAGCTCTGGCTACGCTGGACCGCAGAGCTGGGCTTGGCGCAAACTCGAAATCTGGAGTTATAGATTGCGGGACCCCGCGGCCACCCACAGAAACCGGTGGAGGAGAAATCGAAGGCCTGCCAGAGCGACAGTTGTTGGGACGAGCGAATAGCTATCCTCTACCGCCGTCAACAGCCGCCTTGCAACCGCAGACTGCGATCCGGGACTGGAGATTTGGGCGTATCAATATCGAAACGTTGGACCCCGGCTTATACAAAAGCAACAGCAACAACAACATGGCTGGAGAGGGCAAGGCGGCGGCTACTGCTGTCGCTGGACCATCCGCCGCACCAGATCTTGGCCCACCGTTTAGCGGCTCAGGAACGGCGACAAAGGCAGAGTTTGTTGAGCTCGAGGGCAAGAATACAGAAGTTGGATGGGGCATCGTGCATTTCTACAGGGAGAGCGACGAGACTGCCGGGCTTGCCTCCACCCACGAGGTGGCAGAAGAAACTGAAGACATGCAAGACTGCACCACGCTCTGCATCCCTGCCGTCCCGGCCTACATGACGCCCGGAGATTTCTTGGGCTTCTTGGGAGAACGCTGGCAGAACGACATTAGTCACTGCCGAATGGTCATGACCTCGCGGATGAACCGATACCTGGTCCTGCTCAAGTTTCGCGATAGCAAACAGGCGAAACTGTGGAGGCGAGAGTATAATGGCAAGATATTCAACTCTATGGGGGTAAGTCATTGAAACATATTGCTCTACCGCAAAGCCGACACATGCTGACCTTGAGAACAGTCACAGTCCCAAGCCTGCCACGTGGTCTTCGTCAAGAGCATCACGTTCGAACGACCAAGCCCATCTCGGGGGCACGAATATTCTCTTTCGTCGTCTTCGTCGGCCATCTCGAATAGCCTGAAGCCTTTCCCACCTCCGACCCCGAGCCTTGTAGAGCTGCCCACATGCCCAGTCTGCCTAGAAAGAATGGACGAGACGAATGGGTTGATGACTGTGCCGTGCTCTCACGTCTTCCACTGCACGTGCTTACAGCGCTGGAAAGGAGCCGGCTGCCCGGTCTGCCGGTTCACGAACCCTTCCGAAGAGAGAGATCCGTCAAATCCTTACAGCCAACCATTTGGAGGGTCGGCCTCGAATCTGTGCAGCGTCTGTGATTGCGCTGACGATCTCTGGATTTGCCTCATATGTGGGTACCTGGGGTGTGGTCGATATAAAGGAGGACATGCCAAGGATCACTGGAAAGACACGGCGCACTGCTTTGCTTTGGAGCTGGAAACACAACACGTGTGGGATTATGCGGGTGACATGTGGGTGCATCGTCTCATTCGCGATAAAGGCGATGGCAAGGTCGTCGAGCTTCCTGGAAGAAGTAACTACACCGCTAATGGCGAAGGCGCGGATGACGACATGGTGCCGCGGGCAAAACTGGAAACGATTGGCCTCGAGTACACTCATTTGCTAGGAAGTCAGCTGGAGTCCCAGAGGGCCTACTACGAAGAAATGATCAGCAAGAGTGCTAAAAAGGCTTCGAAATCCTCGGCTGAATATGAAAAGGTAGCAACAGAGAGGTTGGAAGCTCGGCAACAACTTGCTACTCTGCAAGGCGAATATGCAGTCTTGAACGGGGAGACGCTCCCACAGCTAGAGCGCGATCTAGAACGGGAGAGGAACAAGGCGAAGAAGGGGGAGAACCTCGCCAGGAGTCTTGGCCAGTCACTACAAGAGGAAAAACGACTCAATGATGGTCTGATGAAGCGCATTCAGCATCTGGACACTGATGTCGAGGCGATACGCAAGCAGCTGGAGGAGCTCAGGGCAGAAAATGCAGAGCTGAAGGAAATGAATCGAGACTTGACCATGTTCATCTCTGGGCAGCAGAAGCTCAAAGAGTTGGAAGACGAGGGGCAAATCGAGGAGGGCGAGCTCGAGGGGGGGACTATGAGCGTTCCCGAAGGCAAGAAGAAGAAGGCAAACAACAAAAAGAAGGGGAAGCGGTGATTGGCAGTTATAGGTGTCGATGGCGGTTTGGTCGTTATAGCGATGAGTCGGCTAGCTTGGATGGAGTTTTGGTAGTGGGTGAGGAGTTGGCCATAACGGTGCCGTCCTGTTTGGGATACTCAATAGAATCTGTTGTAATACTAGGTAGGTAGTAATGGCATTTGATTCTTACAAAGAGGCAGAGCACAGCAGGTGTCGTCCCTTGCATGGCCCGCATCTCGCATGCAGCCTTGGGAGTGTACTCGTATGCATGTGCTTACCTTGCAGAGTCGTACAAATCTCCGGCGGCCGAATGAAACAATCTCCGGGGTTCGGTGCCGGAACATGGCTACGGGGGTGGTTACAATTACATGTGACAGAGCGGCAGGGATATCATATCGTGAAAGAAGGCAGGCTCACGATGAATGATTGTTTTTGCTTGGTGTGGTATTTATTTCGCATTGATGTTGTTACGTGATGGAAATGCTTGGGTTGGCTGAGCTGTTACAGTTAGCTGTTGATAGAGTTTTGTCTAAGAGCTCACGGGCATAAGATCAGACTGCATTAACGGTCTCTTTTAAAGTTTTGAGCTTTTTTTTTTTTTATCTCCGTCCCGTGAGTGTTTGGTGAGTTTTGTCTCAAACAAACTGCATTTGCGCAATCAAAGACACATTCCGAGTACTGGCCCTCCTTGCATCAATACAATCACAATAATAAACCCATAATAGTATTTGTATTTTTTTTTCTCTTGCGATTTGCGTTGCTTCATCTTTTGGGATGGTGAGGAGTGGGACACGAGCACGTGTTAAATTGCGAGACCTTGATGGCGAAAAAAACAACATACAAAAGGTTCAGGTCAGTTCAGGTCAGGTAACCATGGCCCCTTGTTCTCAGCAGCCCTACCGTGGCATCGACAGTGGATCTTTGCCGTTCGTCCGCCCGCGGCTAGCACTGTAGCTCCCTGTAGAGCATCATGGTTGTACTGTATGGACGTTGCAGTAATTCGTTGTAAGTGGCGCGCCGGTGATTGGGAGAGAGAGATTGGGGGGGCAAAAGGGAAACGTCGCTTTTCAGAGGTGCATGGAGCCAACAACATGTACATGTAATCTAACGGACTGATAACCGAATGATCCTCATTTAATTCTCTCTCTTTTTCCTTTTCCACCTCTATTTTTTTTTATTCCCAAAATCGACAAAAAGCTGAAGCTGATATCCGGCTTGGCGTCGCGCAGCAAAGAAAAACAAAACAAAACAAAAAACGTGGGAGCCCCTCTTCCCACCTCCGCGCTGGAATCGTCATCCCTCCCGTGCAGCTTTCTGCTCTAAAAGCTCAAGCTACTTTGGTCACGTCCACTTTTCCCTTTCCATCTCCTCCTCTTCAACCAAAGCTTTCGCGGAGCATCGGATCTTCATTTTCGCCCTGCGCATCGGTTGCAGTGACGAGCAGGGCTGGTATCTTAGCAAACGTCGATCAACTGGCAAGCGGGCTGCAAATACGATACGACAGCAACGACACACGCACGCACAAAAAAAAAAGGCTCTGCAGCCATGGCTTCGCAAGAAGCTGCAGCGTCCAAGGCGGGGGTCGAGCCCCGTGAGGAGCCGGTGGAAGAGTCTGAGCAGCCCCAAAAGGAGCTGTATCCCATGGTGAACTGGAAATACGACCTGTTCCTCTACGGCATGGGGAATCTCGTCAACCTCTTCTTCAGAGAAGTCGTGCCGCGGGGCTCGTGGAGGGTTCCGCAGACGGGGCCGGTGCTTTTTGTCGCCGCGCCACATGCAAACCAGGTATGGGCTATTCTATGACATGATGTCTCGTTGCGCCGAGCCGGGGGGCAAAAGGGAAAACATCAAGCTTACCATGTTTTGTGACAGTTTGTCGACGCCATCCTCCTGCAACGGACGCTGCGACTGGACGCCAACCGACGAATCTCCCTCTTGATTGCGCAGAAATCCGTCCACGGCTTCATTGGCTGGGGATCCCGCCAGGTCGGCTCCGTCCCCGTCGGGCGAGCGCAAGATGCCGCGAAGGCCGCGACGGGCCTTATTTACCTCCCGGACCCGATCAACGACCCGACGCTGGTGCGAGGCGTGGGCACAAAGTTTGGCGTGGGCGAGGGAGAGCCGCAGGGCCTGCTGTTCCTGCCGCCGGGCAAGAAGACATCTGGCGAGAGTGTCAACATTGACCAGATCCTGGGCCCCGAAGAGGTTCGCATCAAGCGGCCGTTCAAGACCCAGTTAGCTTTGAAACAGCTCACCGGACGAGATGACATTGACAAGGAGGGCCGATTTACCAACAAATCGGTCAACGGTTCTGCGCCGGGATACAAGGGGACCAAGTTCAAGCTTGCGCCGCATACCGACCAGACCAAGGTGTACGAGGCTGTCTTTGCGCGGCTGAGGAACGGCGGGTGCGTCGGCATCTTCCCCGAAGGTGGTAGCCACGATCGTTCCGAGCTGCTCCCTCTCAAGGCCGGTGTGGCCATCATGGCCTTGGGAGCGCTGGCTGAGGCACCCAACTGTGGCCTCAAGATTGTGCCCGTGGGCATGAACTACTTCCATCCGCACAAGTTCCGCTCGCGCGCCGTCATTGAGTTTGGAGCCCCCTTTGAGGTCCCGCCGCATCTGGTTGAGATGTACCGGAACAACCAGCGAAGAGAGGCAATCGGCCAGCTCATTGACACCGTCTACCAAGCCCTCAGCTCTGTGACCGTCTCAGCCCCAGATTACGATACGCTGATGATGATCCAGGCTGCGCGAAGGCTCTACAACCCCACCGGCAAGAAGCTACCGTTGCCGGTTGTGGTGGAGCTGAATCGCCGTCTGGCATTGGGCTACGAGCGCTACAAGACCGACGAGAGGATTACCAGTCTATCCAAGAGCGTCAAGGAGTACAACTCGCAGCTGCGCTATCTTAACCTGAGGGACCACCAGGTGCAGTACGCCACCATGTCCATCTGGAAGGTCATTGTGCTCTTCATCTACCGCTCCATCAAGCTCCTGATTCTCTTCCTCTGCACCGTGCCGGGCCTGCTTCTGTTCTCACCAGTCTTTGTGGCCACGAAGATTATCAGCAGGAATAAGGCCAAAGCGGCGTTGGCGGGCTCAACCGTCAAGATCCGCGGGCGCGACGTCATGGCTACGTGGAAGATTCTCGTTGCCTGCGGACTGGCTCCGACGCTTTACCATGGATACTCGATTGCTGTGGTCGCTAGGGCGTGGTACGACCGCCTCTGGGGCTATCTGCCGGAATGGGTACCCCTGGTGCTGGTGTATCTAGCTACGTGGGTGGCATGGACGGCCATTACCATTGCGGCGCTGCGGTTCGGCGAGGTCGGGATGGATATCTTCAAGTCGCTGAGGCCGCTGGTGCTTTGCCTGGTCCCGGCATCTGATTTCAACATTCACAAGCTGAAGCGGAAGCGAGCAGAGCTCAGCGCCCAGGTGACGGACTTGATCAACACCCTCGGGCCCGAGATGTTCCCCGACTTTGAAAAGACGCGGTTGGTTCCCGACTTTTCTAAGATCGAGACGGGAGGAACTCAGGCGTCCCCGACAGAACACCGTCCCCGGCGGGACAGCGACCAGTCGAGCGCGGGCCCCGATCTGGAGACGCCGCCGCCGTTGTCACGACGCAGCACGACACAGTCCAGCCGCTTGCTTCCCCGAAACGACTCGTTCAGCAACATTGGCAGAGTTGGCATCTTCTCGACACGGCCTCCGTCGCGATCAAGGAGTCGCTCCAACAGCGCGGGCGGTGGCTTTGGCTCCAGCGGATTCCATATCAGCGGGTTTACAACTCTCGACTCTGCTGAGGGTTTCAGCGAGGCCAGCCGCAAGATTAGAGAGGCGATGAAGGACCGGCGGAAGAAGTCTGACAAGGTCAAGATGGAGGCTGGTGGAGACGAAGATGAAGAGTCTGATAGCGACGAGGATGGCTACAACGAGGCGAGGAAGAAGAATATCTGAAGGGCCCGCTTAATGGATACGAATTGGGTGCGGGGTCTAGTGCCGTGTTGCGATATGTTTTTCCTTTTTTTGGGGGGTTTTTTCCCCATCACCACTTGTTGTTTTGTGTTGGAGTTTTTGCGCATATACTCCGTAGGCATCTTGAATTTATGAAGGGATTTTTGTGAACGCGGTTACCTTGACTACAAAAAAGTCTGACATGGATATGACAAGAAGCGAGTGTGCGATGGATCAATCCCACATGGCCCTCGTGGGTTGATTGAAAACAACGACGTATGAAGTTTGATGCTCCATCGTGGGGTTCGGGATTGGCACGGGAACACTTGACGGAATCCGAGGATGGGCTTCATGCACAGCAGCCCGAGATGAACTGGCATTGCGAACGCTTTACTCCATCTAGTATGATGTGGGAAAATCAATAATGATAGCATTGTACAAGTACATGTCCGCATGATGAAATTTTGCTTACGCTGTTCTTACATGGGTGGGCAAGGTTAGTTGGGATGGTGTAGTTGTGATTGCATATGAGGCCATTGGGATTGGGGAACGGACTCGGCCGACGAGCCGCCGGTGAATTGCAAAGCTCGGAGATTTCGGTGATTTGCAAGGCAAAAGAAATGGGCGGTGGCGGGGAAAGCCCTGAAGAAATTGTATTACGTGTCAAGCGGGAAAAGAAAAAGAAACACGTTGATCTTTTTTTTATTTTTTATTTTTTACTACGTCTTATTGGTGAATCCCGGAACAAGAGATGACGACAGCAAAGCGTTGTATTAATCAGATACAGATTTGCGTAGAGCTGAGTTGGGAAAAAAAAAAAAAAGATTCCATGTGATGACGGGAATTTCCCGTTTGGGGGGCGCGTCTCGGCTCTCCACTCCCCGGGATCCCCCCCCCCCCCCCCAAAGACGCGCGCATCGGCTTGGCCTGCCGGACGGGAGAGCTGGGGAAAAGAGCAAATCTGAGGGATGGGCGGGTTTAGTTTGTGTTGTGAGTGGCTGGATTTGGATTACCTCATTTAGGAGGGCGAGACGCCGGAGGATCTGATAAGGAGGAGAGTGGGATGAGGAACAGGGGGTCCTTTGTTTTGTTTTAAATCCGAGAAGAGGTTTAAAGGGCCGGGGGAGAAACCCTGATGGCACCCTCGTTCTTTTGGATTTGTTTTATAAATCGATTCCGGATTTTTTTTTGTCTTCTTCTTTTTCTCTTGATTGTGAGAGTCTTGTTGGTTTAGCGGCAGACAAGACTTGTTATCTGGAAGGAAAAAACAAGAGATACGAATCAAGGGGGCGAAAAAAATAGGGCCAGTTCTATATATCCACTTGGACCATCTCGAACTTCTTTTTCTCTCTTTTCTCTTCTTCTTCTTCTTTCACCATGCCGCCTCCCGAAGCCAGCAACAACAACAACAACAGCAGCAGCAGCAATAACGCGCCTCGCATGCCCGTGAAGCAGAAAATGGCCGTGTCGCTCAAGTCGCTCGTGAGCTCGGTGCTGAGCGCGGTGCCGGGGGCCGCCGGCGTGGGAGCGGGCATCTCGGGCCCGGCGTCGAGCGCGGGGCCGGCGCGGCTCGAGGCGCTGTTTGCGCGGACCGAGGCCGAGGTGGACGGCGACGAGTGCCTGCGTGATTGCGAGAGCTGCGCGGTCAAGTATCCGCGGGGGTTCAAGGTGGACGAGGAGGATGTGCTGTACGGGCAGGTCAAGGGGTGGAGCACGCATGTGCTTGTTGGGACGGGGAAGACGGACTGGGTGAGGGACGTTGCGGATGAGAGGGGGAGTGTGATGGAGGCGATTCAGAGGGTGGGCGGGGTGACGAATGGGGTGAGTTTTTTTTTGCTTTTTGCTTGATTTCGCTTTGTTGTTTGTGAGGGTGAGATGAGGTTATGTGAAGTGAGATGAGATGGGATAGGATGAGATGAAAAGAGACAAAGTGAGGATAAACGCAACTGACATGTCACCATCAGAGACTCATGCTGTCCGCCTCCAACCTCCCCACGCCTCACGACACCACCGACTACTCAGAACCCACCACCGTTCTCCTCCTCCCAGCCTTTGCCATCGTCCACAACGTCCACCCACGCAACGTCCCCCAGCTCATCTCCGACGTCGTCAACGTCGCTCCCACAAACTCCTCCCCGCTGGCCCCCTGGCGCTCCGCCATCCCTCCCTCCCTCCCCAGCCCGGACGCCTCGCTGGCCGACCTCACCATCGGCGCGTGCCCGCACAGCGCCGTCGTGCTCATGTGCAGCCAGAAGACGCGCGACGCGCGATGCGGCCAGAGCGCGCCGCTGCTGCGAAAGGAGCTGGAGCGGCATTTGCGGCCGCTGGGCTTGTATCGGGATTTGCACGACGAGAGGCCTGGCGGGGTGGGCATTTACTTCATCAGCCATGTCGGTGGGCACAAGTACTCTGCGAATGTGATGGTGTATCGACGGCCGAATGCGTTTGGGAAGGATGACGAGCCGCTGCCGGAGGGTGTGGAGGAGGCGGCCGAGGCGAGGGAAGAAGGCGAGAAGAACGGGGAGGAGGAGAAGAGTGATGTGGGCGCTGGGCAGTGTATCTGGCTGGCGAGGGTGAGGCCGGAGGATTGCGAGAATTTGGTGCGGTTCACTGTGCTCAAGGGGAAGGTTGTGAAGCCGGAGAGGCAGTTGAGGGGAGGGTTTGATAGGGGGAGGGGGTTGATGAGTTGGTGAGGGTGGTGTATGGGTTTGGGGGGTTACATGGGGGTTTCATTTGGGTTGGGTTTATGAGCATATATGCATTTATATAATTCAGTCGGGAGGTTTATAAAGAGAGGTCCGTCGGCGTTATCTGGCGGAATGATTTATTGCGTATTGTTATGAAGGTGTATTTCTGTATGCTTGAGCATGTCGATTGTGAGTTTCGTTTGTAACGAGTTTACGAAGGGTTTAGAAGGGTTGAAAATGACAGCATGGTTGGGATTGGACAGATTGTGGCGAGACTTATGGAGCTCTGGTGTTGGACATTTATGAACTTGACCTGGGAATGTCTCCTAGATTTGCCTGCTTCATTAATACTACCTTGATGTATAACCATCCAACAACCAAGAATGAGATTTCTCGTCGTTGCTAATCCATTTCAAGCAGGGCTCTTGACTGGAGAAGCAGCTATTGCAGCCTACGCCGAAGCTAGCACACACGGGTTGGAATATCTGCAGCGAGAATGTGCTGTGATGTTTTACTTGTTTATTCAACTTTCTGCCTGGCCGCTCCGGTGTAGAAGGATTGGGGTTTGAGGCCGTGATTGATGTGAATTCAAGTTCAAGATTTTTATGCTTGCTGGTCATTTTCGTCCATTTTGGGCTCACCAGCGAGGCACGCAAGCAGCTGAAGCCCCACGCAAGACATTTGCTGCTGGACAAGGATGATGACAGTGTAAGCCTAAAATAAAACCAGTGCCAGGCCATGCCCAAGTTTGAACTCGCAACCACGAAAGAAGCTCGTCGACGATGGTGAAGAAAAGAAGTAAAAGGGGGGAAAATGCGGCTGCTCAACACCAAAACATATAGCATCACCGAGTTCTTCGAGGCCAACATCCCCAGATATGCCATCCTCTCTCACACCTGGGGGCCGGGCGAGGTGACATATCAGGACATGGCCCAGTCGGTAGAACAGGCGCGGGAACTGAAGCCTCAGGGGTTCGCCAAAGTCGAGGGCGCGTGTGCGCTTGCACATGACGAGGGATTCGACTACATATGGATCGACACCTGCTGCATCGACAAGACGAGCAGCGCTGAGTTGTCCGAGGCCATCAATTCCATGTATGCGTGGTACCGGGAATCTTCGGTTTGCTATGCATACCTTATCGACGTTGGATATGTCGAGCATCCAACTTTGGAGACGGGAAATAGGAACTTTGATGAGGTTGAATTCGGGGCATCCCGCTGGTTTACGAGGGGATGGACGCTCCAGGAGCTCATTGCGCCCTCTGATGTCGCTTTTTATTCTGGAGATTGGCGGTATCTCGGAAGGAAATCCTTTCACAAAGACGTGATATCTAGAATCACGGGCATCGACGTGAGCATCCTCGCCGGGGCCGATCCGTCTCTCATCGCCGTAGCCCGCAAGATGTACTGGGCCTCACGTAGAACGACGACCAGGACCGAAGACATGGCATATTGTCTGATGGGCTTGTTCTCCGTCTCCATGCCCCTCATCTACGGCGAAGGCAGAAAAGCCTTTCTTCGACTCCAGGAGGAAATCATCAAGACTGTCGACGACCAGTCCATTTTTGCGTGGCAGCTACGGAAGCTGAGCTCCCCTGGGCCGGATTTTTACGGACTCCTGGCCGATTCCCCGAGTGCCTTTGAGGATACTGGCGGAAACGTCTCCCCATTTGCATCAAGCCACTCTTCTACGCAGGCAACACGTATCATAAACAATACTCTACAGACTACGCTGATGATCCAGAACAAGGTAATCCAGGGCGTCCACTATGCTGGCTTTGGTAAACTGCCGTCTGGTCCCCTGTCGAATTATCGTCGGGCTGTTCTTGGCTGCAGGTATGGCTTCTCGGGAGACTCTTCGCCTTGCATTGAGCTGTGGTGTCTGGATGAGGAGCAGTCCCAGTTTGCGAGAATCCGGCCTTGGAATCTTTTCAGGGAACAGGCGCCGTCTATTTCCCCTCCCTTGCGAGTGACTTCGCTTTCTAAAATCCCGTCTCTGCTTTACGAGGTGCCTCTTTGTAAGTTGAGGCTCCGAGTCTGATTACTCGTGGAAAGCTGTATATACTGATATGGAATCGAATGTGGCATGTAGACTTTGGCACAATCTCCATGGATCTGCTTTTAAACCGTGCGCCGTGGGAGTACAAACAGATCACCGTCTCTCACAACCCCCGAGAATTCATACCCTTTGGCTTCCGCCTTCAGTATCTAAGCTACAAGATCGGAACCCGTGAGGGATATCCGGCTGATCGATGGCACGGCAACGACCGGGTGCTGCAGCGAGCTTACCACCACAGAAACGGCCCTCAGCAGAATACTTCGATGGCCTCCCAGCCGAATGTCGTGTATTACAACGATCTCAAGAGATATGTCCACGTCGCGCGTGTCACAGAAGGCGCCGTGCGTGTCATTTTCAAAGAAAAGTCGTTCAAAGGCTGGTGTCTGTTGCATGCCCTTGTCCTGGGGATGGACATAATCCACGACGAGCGGGGGGATTGGCAACGAAAACCGTGGTGCCGGATTGTGGAACTTGAGCCGTGGATGCGGGTGGATGAATACAAGTACGAATTTGACTGGAATGAAGGAGAAAGTAGCAAGATGAAATGTTCGTCGCACGACGCCTTGTTGTTGGCAAAGGTCGTTATGCTGCCTGGCGATGAACTGTATACCGTGCAGCTGAATGCTGCCAACATGAATGAGTTGGCTTATTGGTGGCCATGGTGATGATGAGAACAAGGTTTCGGAGAGCATGAGTGGAAAGAATTATTGATATCTAGGTAATATGATTAAGAGCGAAGCATTTCATAAAAGAGAACTTGTACGGTCATTGCCGTGTGCTCCATCTAAGCGCCATGTCTACCATATCCCGGCCAACAAAAGGCCTCCATGTCCCAGCAAGTGCCAAATAATGCCAAAGCCAAACTATAGAAGCACGACTTGACCACAAAGACTACATAGAGCGATCCCGGCAACACTCAGAGAGGCATTGTCCCGAGGATCCGCTGACAGAACCACTGCTATTGTCGTCAACGTTGACGCTGGCTTCGCCAACGTTCAGGGACGCGGCAGGCAACGGCCAATTGAAAAAGCTACTCAGCATGGCAGAGGCGTTGTTGTTTGAAGATGCCATTGCCTCAGCATCACGACGCTGGCCAAACACTCCGTGATACTGGCCAGCCATAAGATCGCCTCTCTCCCGTACCACCGCCTGCTTCTCCAATCCCACGCTCATAATCGCATCCGCGCACTGCATCTGTTTCATCGTCTTGCGTACTCTCTCCTTGGCATCATGTTCACTGTCCTGCAGATCCCGAAGCTCATCCAGCTTCCGCATCCAAGCCTCACTCTCGTGAGCAGAGTGCCGCTGCAGAGCAATCCCTCCTTGGGCGAGAATGGCGCTCGTAGTGGCGTTGGAGAGAATGTCCATCTCGTGACACATGAAGTCCAGGGGGCTGTGGAAGAAGAGCTCCCACGTGGTCTGCACTTGGAGGCGCGAGATGTGTGCGAGACGCAGGGCTGCCTCGTCGTGGCGTTGACGGAGGGTGCGTTGGACGTGGCGAAGGATGTTGAGGCATGTTGATAGACGTTGTTCGCGGACAAGGCGGGCGGCGGAGGAGTGTTGGTCCAACTCTGGCATCTTGGATGATGATGGGTGAGCGTCTTTGTTCAGATTCGAGGATTGGTCCTCATAGCTGCTTGCGAACCGCTTCTCATGAAGCTCCTCGGGATGTATAAAGCCAGACTGGGAGTTGATGGGGATATCAAAAGTCGGCTGCTGAGGCGGAAAGGGGAAGCCTTGAGGCAGGAGAGAAGATGGCGAGGCCATGAGATACTCCCGAGGAACTTCGTTGGGAGTGTCTTGAAACACGGAAGAAGCGCCGCTCGAGGATGTAGATGGAGGCGTAGAGTTGGCAAAGCGTTGCTGCGCGAGGCCGCGAGTGTTTGAGGTTGAGGCTGCATCCGCCATTGCGTAGAGGTGTAAGTGAGTGGTGTTGAAGGGAGTTGATGTTGGCGAGTGTCGCGGCGGATGAAGCTGATGGGGGAGGGGGGAGAAGAGAGCGTGGTGTTGGAGGAAGCAATTTTATGGTGAATTACAGCACAGTGATTCAGAGTGTTCGGGGGAGTCGTGTGTTGTCAATGAAGAAGTTCTGTGTTCATCAGCGGAGAACGGAAAGTCCTGACAAGTGTCTGATTCACGTGGAAAAAGGACCACGAGAATAGCATTGAGTGTGTTGAAACAGCAAAGATGCACGCATGATCAGGTATTCACACATGCTTTTATACACAACATAGATCTGCATATAGTGTTTCTACTGAGAACAAGACAGATATGATTCATGTCGCGACTTGGTTCCCGCAAAAGAAGAAGTCTGGTGCAACAAAGTGTTCAATTGTGTATCCATTTCACTGCTTAGACATAAGTACATCTCATGACATGCATGCTGCGATATACACACGCCTTCATTGCTCTCATTATCCCACCCATATCCTCATTACACACATGCCATTTCATACCATCCCACCAAAGTCATGTACAAAACATATCCAAAAATGCCCCGGAGGCCATATATCCCATAAACAGCTCTCCCCATCATCCTCCTCATCCTCAAAGGTGTCAAAGAACCAATGCAGAGATGCTCCAAAATAATCCTTTCATAACCAAAAAAAAAAAAAAAAACATGCTCATAACAAATCATGCAACATTGTCCAAAATAAACAATTCCGCTGCGCCACATACATATATTCCAAAAAAAATATCAAAGGCGGGAAGGGAGGAGTAAAATGTAGAAACAGGAAAAAAAAGAAGAGGGCAAGTTTTTGAGCGCAAGAATCCTCACCGCGACATCACCCCGTTGTTTTTCTTTCACCGGGGAGGATCCTTGGCTCAGTGTTAGTCTGCCAGGCTGTGCGACTGGCTGCTACTCGACTCGGTCGTGATGGTGAGCTCGCGGCGCGCGCCGTGGACCAGCTTGTAGATGCCGAAGGAGATGGCGGCCAGGACGATGAAGAGCACGATGATGATGATGGCGATGACATAGTTGCGCTGCGTCATTGCGGCGGTTTGTTTGTTTGTTTATCTGTTTGTTGGGTGTTTGTGTGAACGTGTCTATTTATTCCGTTTGCGAACAATGTCGGTGAGATTCTGACGGTGCGGTTTTTCGCCTGGCTCGAGATGTATGAGCTTTCAAAAAAGGACTGAGAAACAATTAGTATTTATTACTACCCAAAGCCACCTCGAAAGAACAGCGACGAGCCAGAACTCACCAAGTAAACAGAACCTCGTCACCGCAAAATGGCCCAGAACCAAAAAAAGCGTGCAAGGCGCCAAAACAGTCACTTCAAACCGCTTCGATTTATTCAAAACAAAAAGAATAAAAAGAATAAAAGCCAATCGAATCAATCAATTCAATATTAATTCAGGCAACTCGTCGTTCTTCGTCTTTCGTCTTTTCGTCAACCTTGTGTAAAAAGGACAAACGACAAAAACAACAACAGAAAACAAACACGATTCCCAGTAACAAGAAGAAGGAAAAAAGTACCCAACCAACCTCCCCCTCTGGCTATATACGCCGTTGCCCCGCCACCCGCTTTTTGCGTCCCGTCTCTCTCTTTTAGCCCCAGCCGTTTCTGCTTCTGGCGTTTCTTTCGAAAAATCGCAAGGCTGGGGGGATGGGAGGAGACGCAACCTGGAAGCTCTTTGCTAGGTAGTACTACTAGGTACTAAGCTTTCAGCGCCTTCTGGTACCTGGGCTAACGCGGGCTGGCGGGCTTACGGCAACACGCTTGCTGCGACCCCCCCCTGTACGAGTAGCTGCGCTCAAGTGCTACTGCGCTGTTCACAGGGAGCTGGCGCTGTAAGAAACCAGACTCCACTGTTTTGCTAGCCAAACACAGCGCTGAGGCTTTGCTGTTCAGTGGGGCCGAAGCGCTACAAGTACAAGTAGGTACAAGCTCAGCTGCCCCAGCCTCGCCATTTTTTTCTTATCAACAACAAGAGCTGCGCTGGTGGCGTGTCATTGGCGACATCTTGAAACATGGACGATGACACGGAATACGGCACACACACACTGGTGCTCTACAGCTTCAGAGTCAAATGGCAATCACATTGTTCATCATTTCAATACAGAAACTAAATGGGCTACTCGCAAAGATACCCGTAGCTGTTGATACACATTACGCCTCCCCCCGTCCTCGCCTTCAGACCCCTACGTAGAAGCTAGCTGTAGCCGAGTAACACATAAAAGTAAATAAGCCATTTGATGCTTCGAGAAACCGCAGCCCGCAAACTAAGGGAGGAAAAACACCAGAAACCAAAACGATCAATGCGGTCCGTATACGCCAGCTAGTCTTCGGGCCATGGCCATGACTCTCAGTCGCAGCAGTCGCGTATCCGCTCATTCGCGCCGCGTCCGATCCAGCAGCCATGCGTCCATCTCCGCTGGTTGTGAGGAATCGTCTCCGTGTCCACCTTTACTCGGTCAGGGCCTTGTTCTCCTCCCGAATGATTCGTACATGTCGTTCGTAAAATAGCAACATCTATACCAGTGTCAGTTGCAAGTCCACACGGTCAAGCGAGTGTAGGCGTAGGTAGGCTTACCTTTTGGGGGCACTTCTTGTAAATGACCTTCGTGTCATGTTTCGTCTTACGGCCATTCTTCCACACAAGGTAAACAACGAGCCGGCCACTACCTTCATCCTCGCAAGCATCAATCGTGTCGATCTCGTCCTCCCACGACCCGGCCGGAGGGCTCCATTTCTCCGCCGTGGCTGGCGGTGCTGAGTCGCCAGGGTGTGTTCCGTTTCTCTTGGAACGCTTCGTCGTGGCGGCCGGCGTTGTGCTGTTCGTCCGGTTGCGCTTCTTGCCTCGGGCGGCTTCTTGCGTCTCCTCGAAAATCTTGTCTCGCCCGCCGATGGATTCGAGATAGGCACTGAGAACCTCGCCCGCAGACTCCCTAAGTCGCACCCAAAGTCAGTCGCTTCATCTAGTAGTCGCGTGTCCTTTGACCCCGCGCTCCGCAATCTGCACGTACAGTAGATTCTCTTCAGGCTCCCAAGTCATATCTGACTTCTTCTCGTAGCCCTCCCACTTGACGTGGAATTTCAATGTTCCCTACGCGATGTTAGCCGTGGTGTCGTCAAACAAACGAAAAAACGCGACGGAGGTGCATCCTACGCACATCTTCGTCAATCATGTGCTTCTTGATAGCCTCGACGATGAACCTATAAGCAGTTGTTAGGTCTCAATGCCATATGCCGTGCAACATCCGGTGGTTTCATACACATCTTCCTCGAGGCCATCCCCATCCCCATCCTCGTTCACATCATTGTCCGCATCCTCGATTTCAATATCCTCGTCCTCGTCCTCGTCCCTTTCCACCTTTTTTGAGACTCTTCCGTTTCGCCGGGGCCTTGAGCCTGATTCCTCTGCCTCGCTTGACGCGGAGTTCCGCGACGACTTGACGGGTGGCGCGCTCTCGTAGTCCGAGGCTTCTTCGTCGCTGAGTGCTGCTCTGCTCTTAGTGGATGATCTTCTCTTGTTCCCCTTGGGAGCCATGATGCGACGGTAAACAGTGATGGAGCGGTGGTGCTGTCAAGGCGAAGAGCGTTCAGGTGCAAGTACTGAGCTGGAGCTGTCTCCGGCTACTGGGGGGGGATCATCTATGCACTTTGCACAGGCGCGATTCGCTCGCCAAGGGGGGAGGAGGAGCCAAGTGGCAGCCAGTTGGTGCACGTACCTGGAGGCATTGTCACAGTTCACTAATTCGCCTGGCAGTTACAGAATCCTTTCGCAGTCCCGGACGGCGCAACCTGGTCGCAAGCGCTTGACGCCGTCCAGTAAGCAAACGCGATGGACGGCGCGGGCCTCAAGCTTTGGTGTTGCCGAGTGACGCTCCGTCACGTGAGCTTAATTTTTCTTGGTCTTATCGTTATCGATTTCAACAGCTGCCAGCTCTCCACTTTCAACGCCCTGAGTCGTGATGCCTATTAGCACTTGGTAGAGCTGTAACGCCTCAATGGGCCATTCCATCATTGATGGCGAAGTTTGGTGAGCTTTATAATGCGTCGAAATCTGCTTGACCGTTTATTCATGGGGTTTCCACTGTTTCTGCTCACCTGTGATGGACGAAGCATTCTTTGCATCTTTGCTCCACGTCTGTGCTAACAAACATGTTGGACGACGCCTTGACGAAGAACAAAAACCAGCCCGACTCTGGTGGTTCTATACAAACTTTTACCCATACTCATACGGCGACCCGGAATCTGTTGCTCGGGCCATCAAAGTCATTTATTCATTGTTCCATACAATAAATCTTGTGTCAAGCCATTCGTCCAGCGAAACGGCGCTTCCCGATATCCGGCACGCTCGGCTGTCGCTGGCTGCATGCTTGTCTGTAGCTCACATGAGCAATAAAGCGTGCCTCAAGAAGCGATTGCTACCTATTTAGAGCTCTCTTGCTCCCGTACTTGGCACACATGTTTGCATGCATGATTCTCCATTGTTTGCCGTCAAATTACGCATCCTAAAGCTGTGGCCACTTCCTGCTCACCTGTCCTTTGACGCCCCAGCCAGAAGGAATCGGGATCAGCAACACGCCGAGCTGCGATATGCCGCATATCCTGGAACGAGCCAGCCATGTAGGCCAGTCGCAGTTACGCCGAGTCCTGAGTCAACGAGAATTACCGTCGGTAAAACATCAATTGTGAGTCGGCCGACGTCCACACCACTCCAATGGCCGCATTCAACTTGGCCTGCATGAATAGCCGGGTGGTCGTTGGCGCAGTCAACTTTGCGCCGGTCCCTGCGATGGAAGGCTGTTGGCAGGGCGTCGTATTCTTTAATCCACGCATAATGCCATCATGTCCCGCAGGTGTGCGCCCTGCCTTTATTCCTTCGACTGTCTCATTGAGCTCTCTTGGCAGACTCTTGCAAGGACAGCAGCCTTCTACTTACCTAGCGTTCAATAATTGACGTTAGTATGACTATCGAGCCCCGTCGAATTCGCTAGCACCATGTAGGTGTAAATTACTGCAATATCAAACGGCCCTCGTCGGAATCACATGCTGCCGCCAGCACCCAGACATGCAGTAGTCGTACCTGGTAGATCACCCGAAGAGGCTCTTTGCACGCGGCTAAGCAAACTTGTTAGCTAAAATGAGGGTCCAACATGACCCAAGCAAGGCCAACGGTCCTTTGTGTAACGGGGTCATCAAGCAGACCGGCCGGCGTAACTCAAAGGGAGCAATCGGCCTCGTGTTTGGAGCGCCAAAAGTGCCACGGTCCGGGGATCCGAGCCCACCAAGGCGAAAAAAAAAAGAAAGACGAGTGCGGCAAGATGCGAAACGTTGCCGATTCGAGAAGGCCGGTTGGCATTCCTGTTTGCCCGCTAGAATGCACGCAACCACACTCGCGACCGGCAACAAGGGACCTAGCCAGGGGGGAGATCGCAGAGACTTCCATGGATCTTTGCCGGAAGCTTAGTGTGTAATACGACTCTGCTGCTTTGAAGCGACAGCACGGCCTCGTCAGAGGTTGTATTGCAGCGTCCTTCCATGGAGGGTACTTAATTAGACGTGAGTAATTTGCTTGCCTACCTAGTCGGCAGCCCTAACGTCTCGTGTGCCAGACTGTATTCCGCCTCGAGCTACTCCTTACGGGAGGACGGAAATAGATCGACCCAGCTATGGGCGTATCGAGATGCGATCTCTACAAGAGATAGGGTGCTGAAATGGACGATATCCAGTCGTACCACACCAAGACTAAAGCACACCCCTTGGCCATTAGCTCCAAGGTGCTAGTCAGCGACGCCATCGTTTACCGTCTTATATACCTACCTAGTATGCAGCGCGGCACCAAGACGACAATAGTATTCGCTTCATGTAAGGAGTAATCAACTTCGTGGCAGGAAACGAAAGTGCTGCATCGTAGACGGGGATTTTTGCTGTTGGAAAGTGGCCATCTCCCAAAGCAAATCAAGAAAATCAAAGACAAAACTCATACCGTCGGCGATTACGCACCCAATGAGCTCCCATGGCACTCCCCATAGGCGACTCTCTTCCCCGGCTGAAATCCTCAGCCGCAGTAATCTAGGGATTAAGAAGCGGCTAAGCACATCCAAGCTTTTCGAGACAATGTTTCAATGCCGGTCCACGGAAGCTTTCCCGGCGAGGTCTTACTTGCGGCCCAGGGAGGAACGTTTTTTTTTTTTCTTTTTTCCAACCCTTCTCCCCACCTCGTGCCAAAGCATAGCAAAAGCAGGAGTCGTCGTAGAGTAGTCATCGTCATACGGAGTACAGCGTGCTCCATATGGCTAAGAACAAGGCAGAAAGGCGGCTGGTGGAATTTCTCAGTTTTGGGGCTGCAAATTCTTCTGCAGTGGTCAGGGAGTCCGTGCAGGCATCACTCTCCTCGGCTACAAGTACGCCAAGGTGCCGTCTTGGGACTGCTGCATACGAGCGTATGTACTGTAATGCTACTCGTACGGAGTTTGTTGTGCTGGCTGTGAGAACCCATGTTGATGAAGTCTCCACCATCGCTGCGCTAATCGCACCAAGGGGCTTGGTCGGCTCTCACGTCAAGCTCTTTTTCCCACGAGACAGGAGCAGGGCAGCGGTTACGAGTACGTGATGCGCCCAACCCTGAGCTGTTTTTGGCCCAGCATGGTCATGATCCTGCCAGAATGATAAGTCTACAGACGACCACGAAGCGTTCTGTCATAGGACGCGGTGATTTCCTCAGACCTGCGCTTCTCTACACGGCACAAGGTCGTAAAATGCTAGTTGGACGAGAGATGACCGAAAAAAAGGCTGGGCCTGCGACAAGGGGACCCGTTGTCATATGCCCATGCAGCAAAAGACCAGGCCAGACAAGCAGTTAGGCCGTTGACGAACGGTCGAACAACGGCGGCGCGGAAGTGATATGACAGCTCCCGGGACGGACAAGGGGCCAATGTTTCGATGACATGACAGGTGTGTGCTCCTGGGCCGCCAGCCAGACACTCTGGCTCTTCTGGACACTCGTCTCATTCTCTGTCATGCTTGTATCAACGGAGTAAGCGTCTGACTTTAGCTTAACCAAGGAGAATGGCTGTCGAACTTTGACCATAGCGCCCACCCCCTGGATGGCCTGGGTGATCTCCCGAAGCAACCCCCCTGAAGCCTCGGATCTTTTTAATCTGGCCTGTGTTTGGAGGACGAAGGGCCAGCGCATGGTGAGCACTCGAGTTTTTGAATGCTACGAAGGGCATTGCGCCATCGGTGGGAGGGTATTCTTGGGCGTCGAATGTGACACTGATGCTCGTACTTGCCATTCGGGAGATGAGGCTGTAAGCAATACATAGCCTGAAGTAACAAATAGCCAACGAGCCATGATGGCATTCACACTTTCTCTCAACTTGCCTGAATCACAAAGCGCCCTGCTGCAACAGCAGAGCACGCTAGGCATCCGAGCTTTTCTCTGATGCCCACTCCGTTCATTGGCGGCGCTCAGCCGGTCTGGATCTTTTGCAATTCGGCCGGTGCGAAGTAGGGTGGCTGGCACGGGCGCAGGAGAGGTGGGATCGCGTGCAGTTTGGCTGCAAGAATGAAGCGATTGGATTCAAGAACGCCACGAGAAACAGCTGGCCGGCCATGCCCTTGGCTCTGAGCTAGATGGGACACGGCCTTTGAATGGCAGGCGCTCGGCCTTGTGCTTGTAGGATCCGTCCACGTTACTCCTGAGATGGCTCCGATCGCTGCCACCCTTGCTGGCGAGTCTTGATCGAGTCCGTCTGGGCATCGTCTAGTCTCTTGCGGCCGGCTGCCCGACGTCTTGTCGTGTTGTTTCTGTGCTCCTGTGCTCCTAGGAGTACCTGTACAGACATGCGAGAAGGCAACGAGTAAGGCGGTATTCGTACTGTAGGTATGGAGTAGAGTATGCATCGTACAGCAGGTCTTCAGCTGCTGGTAGTAGCTGCTGGCGGATCATTCAAGCTCCATGTTGCCAAGGCATCTGGGCAGTGCATACCCGTGGCCGTAAGGTAGTGACAAGGCCAATGGATGGCTTGAACCTAAGAGGACAGACGCTGATGAAGCTCCATGAGGTCTCCATCGGCCCATGATGTAAGTTACTCGGTACGAGTACATGTACACGAACAGCAGGGCCGGAATGATTCCCTGGCGAGAGTGGGCAGGCACCATGACAATCTCCTGCGAGCCTCCTTCCTCCGGCGGCGCCCCATTACGAGTACCTACCTACATGTACGTGTAAGGTAATGGAAGGTATCCGTACGGAGCACCGCGCAGGTCGCAGACGGCCAATACTCCGTTGCTCCTGCATCCTACCGACGCTACTGCTGGCGTAGGAGTAGCTGCCTCTAAAACATCGACTACAGGTAATGGTGAGGTGACATGTACCCGTACTTGTGCTCCGTGCTGTACCCCGTACCTACATGGCGCTCACTCGTAGGTACATGTAGGCAGTTGCAGCCGATTGCCTGCCGGTGGTTGACTCGAGGATGAGGAGGCACGGAGGATGAGTACAGGCGTTGTAGCCAGCAGCTAGTAGGAGGTACATGCACCCGACCTCTTTGCTCTGCCCACTGAGTGCGGCACCCTCAATTGGCCCCCCCAGGCTCTCATACATCCAATGTACATGTACCAGCACGTGCCTGGCTGGATGTCTCTCTCTCCTCTCAGCCTGGGAGTCCGACCTCGTAGATGCCCGACTCAGCTTCCTCACAACTCAAACCCGGCTTCGGCGGCTGGCTGGCCTGACCGAAACAACTGAACAACTCACTGCGGCCCTGGCCACCGCCAGCAAACCGCGGTCACGATCGGCACGCCTCTCTCCCGCTATCCGCACCACCAGCGGACGGTCTCTCGGCGACGCTGACAGCTGGAGCACTAATCTGGGGGGCCGCGCCGGACAGGGGGGGCAGCGGCCACACAGGCGCCTAGCGGTGGGCTGCTGCTGTTGCTGTACAGCGAGTGCCAGCGCCTGAGCTGCCCGCTATGAGCCGCCTGTAGCGCCTGGGCCCGGTGCGGTGGGGAGAGGGGGGGGGGGGGGGGGGGTTCAATGTTCCTTTTCCACTTCTCCCATGGAAGCGTCCCGTTCGAGGTCCCACCCCTGAGCCGGCTCACCACCTAAAAAAAATAATTAAAGGTTTCCCACGGCTTCTCCTGACTTTGAGCTTGTCACGAGGGGAATTGGGTGAGCTGTTTCTGGGCTGTCGTTAAGAGGTCTTTGTTCTGCTGCTGCATTGGCTTGTCCCTGTCTGCTTCCACGCTGCTCTGAAGTTGAATAAGCAGCCTTGACGTCTGTGAACCGCCTCCCCCTTGAGGGCATTTGCTACCCACGCTCGTTTTCCAACTCGCCCCTGGTCCTTTATACGCTCCTTATGATCTTCACAGGTCCTGCTCCACGAAAGGAGCTGTTGGCTTTGGTCGTCTTCCATCAGATCACCTTTTCTCTGCCTGTTTCGTAGCGCCAGAACGATATCTCCCTCCCCCTCCTCTAGCCGGCCGATCGATCGCTTCTGCCGACGAAAGAAAGAAAACCAACATATCCTACTTTTCACCGCCGTGTCTCTTCCCTCGTGGCACTCCCTCTCTACTAGGACTTGCAAGCAATGTCTGAAACGCCGGTACCCAATGCCGAGGGCAACCAGCCCAAGGCTGTAAAGGACAAAAACTGCGAGTACTGCGGCCAAGCCTTCACCTCGTCTTCCCTCGGCCGACATCTTGATCTCTATATCAAAGACAAGAACCCCAAGCCCCCGGATGGTATTCATGATGTTGATGCTATCCGGAAGCTCCGCGGCAACATCACTCGACGCCAGCCTCGAGGCTCTCTTGGTGCTCGAAGAGATAATTCCACCCCCGCCGGTACCCCAAAACCAGCGGCCAGGAAAGTATCGCCTGGGCAAGAGTCAGATAGCTTCAAACCCTCTGCTGTACCCAAAGAGGGTCTATACGCTATTGGACCCGTCAAATACTCTTATAATACCCCATGGGAAGCCACTGGCGTTATAAATGATCTTCCGGGCAAGAATGCCTGGGATGGCAATGCCCCTCAAGATGCCAACAAGCGTCCCGGGGTATCGAGGAACGCTAGCAAACAGATGGCCCAAAAAGCTCAGTTCGATATTAAACAAAAGCTGGCAGACTCTATGGACACTGCTAGAGCCGCAGAGCTGGCCCTTAGAGAACTGCTGAGCTCATGGCGGGCGGCAAAGTAAGTTATCTCGTCTCTTCAGGGCTTCGTCAAGATCTGGTGTTCGCCATAGGGGTCGGGATCGACTAACACCAAGCTAGACAGCAGATTGATAGTGATTCGACGCCTTTCGACTTCGATCCTCTTGCTCTGGATTTTCCAGCTCTCACTTTGCGGTGTCTTCAGCCACCGCCCACCCTGTTCTCATCGACTCAGCACCCTACCTCGACATCCTGGGCGATACAGTGGCCAGCCCAGCGTGAATATGAAGCGCTTCAGACCTACTTCTTGGAGGAATTCAAGGCATGGAAAGTTACATGCGCTTCGGCCACGACCACGGTGATGGAGGAGATGGCGTATCCCCCAACCGGGGGCCCGTATCGAGACGTGAGAGAGGCCGTAAAGAAGGCTGAGAGAGCCGCTGAAATGCTTGAGCAGCATGTCAACGAACACCTGCAGTCTGCGTATGCAGTTTGGGAGAATCTGCCCAGCCAGCGGAAAAGTGAACTATGGCTTCTTGAGCTGGCACGTGGAGTGGGCCGCAAACATAAGGAAATGGAGAAGATGAAAGAGCAGCACCATAAGCTTAAGCAAGAAAACGCTAATCTCAAATCACACATCGACCAGCTCAACCGACTGCAGCAGCCGAGAGAGTTCAAAGTGCGGTCACCCTCCACCATTCCCCTAGAACGAGACGTTCTTGCGTACGCCTATGAGCAGGCTGTCACGGGGACCAAGCTTGTTGGTTTTGAGCTCGAGGATCGGCATCTGGACTTGAATACCCTTGTAGCAAAGTCAATAGACCGATGGAAGAATATGATTGTGTCGAGTCGTGTTACTGCCACGGGGATGACTGCACAGCGGCCTCTGGACCAGACAGCGGCTCAGACTCCTGCTGTGGGAAACCAAAACAGTCCATCAGAACCCCCAAGCGCCGTGCAAACACCACAGTTGACGCAACCGCCGCCGCCGCCGCCGCAGCCGCAACAGCAGCAGCTCGACAAAAGGCTCTCGACCGCAAGCACGAATGGTCCGGCCAGTGAGCAAAGCGCTTCGTCTACAACCAACACAGGCCCGCCGTCGATCGAAGAAACCAGCGATCAAGATGCTGATGCCGAGATGGAAGACGACGATAGCTTTGTCATGATGAGCCAATCACCCATCAAAACATCGCACCCACCTATACAGCAGCAGGCGCAGCTTGATGTTTCTCGGACTCGCAGTCCCATGAACCAGCAGCAGCAACAGCAGCAGGTACAGGTACAACAACAGGTCCAACAGCAAGTTCAGCAGCAGGTTCAGCAGCAGGTTCAGCAGCAAGTCCAACAGCAGGTTCAGCAGCAGGTCCAACAGCAAGTCCAGCAACAGCAGGCTCAACAGCAGCAGGCACAGCAACGTAACACAGCAGATATGCGTTACATGATGCAAAACGGAGCTGGGAGCCCTGCAAGCAGAGCCGCCATGGCCATGAACCGTGCCATGCCCAACATGAACATGGCGGCAATGCAAGCCAATGCCATGCATGGCGCGGACATCACCATGGCGATGCAAGGGGTGCGTGGCGACATGTACTTGGAATAAGCAATGTCGACGAAAAAAACATAGATCGGAAGAGGGCGTATTTTCGGACGGTTAATAGAAGGAACGTCTCATTTTATATAACGGTTGTACACTGGCCATCATGGTTACCGGCATTCATTTCGAGCGACAAAAGCTTTTCTTTTCTTTTCTTTTTCTCAATTTCCCTTTCACGCGATATTACAAATCTCACGATTATTTTCAACAAAAAAGGGATCAATCAGCATTTTCTGTGCGCCTCCATGGTGTGTTAATATAGAAACCGCAGCATTTGGGCCGGATAAAGAAGCATATAGACTGGCGGAGGAAATGGTTAGGGGACTGGGAGAATGTCAAATTTACTGCCGTTTTATCTTTTCATTTTTTTTTACCATTTCCTTTTGGTGTGTTGGTAGAATGGGATAAAGCTGAAGAAGGAAGAGGTGTCGAATATTTGTGAAACTACTACTGGGCATTGCTGACTAGAAATCGAAAGTGAGGAGTAGGCGTCAATAGATGGAATATATATGCATTTTTTTATAGAATCCTTTTCCTTGCCTCGCCCTCTATATATGTCTTGAGTTGAGTTTTTATACATGATTTTCCGTCGAGATTTGTCCCTGGCAATTGTTCCCCCGTGTAACGTAATAGTACATCATCTATTTCATACAGAGAAGCGGCTCGCTTCATGGCTTGATCTGCTTCAGCTTCTTCTCAATCATCCGCACCGTTGACTTTGGGATGTGTAGTCGGTGGGCGAGGACCAAGGCGCCAGTGAGAACAGCAAGGCTGCCAGCCTGGTGAGTGGCTGCTAAGTGGGTGGGAACCATGTAGATTAGGGTAGAGATACCGAGGGCCGCTTGCAAGGTGACGAGATGGACGAGGCCAGTAGTGCCCTTCTTTGCGTTCTTGGGGAGCGCGGCGGCGACCTTTCCGGTGCGGGCGTATGCGAAGAGGGCGAGGATTGTGCAAAAGGTCGTGATGGCCATGATTCGGTGGTCGAGCTGGACGAGGCTGGGGTTCTCGAGCATGTTGCGCCACCACAGATCGGAGCCGTCTTCCTTGCGGGAGTAGAACTTGTCCCACAGCTCAGTCTTTGGCGGGGTGAAGCCGAGGCCCATCTTGGGGAACTCGTTGTAGATGAGACCGGCGTCGAGACCGGCAACCAAGCCGCCAGACATGGCAGTGAGGAAGACGAGGCCGGTGACACCAAGAACTGAGCGCCGGAAGGTCTTGAGGGCGGGGTTCTTGATGGCGTTAATCATAGCGGAGGCGGCAGCGGGGTCGGCGAGCAGACGGCGGGTGCGAAGGATGGTCAAGCCAGACATGAGCATCCAGGAATAGCAGACAAACGCGGTAGCCAAGTGAGTGGTCAATCGATACTGGGAGACACGTGGGTGAGAGCCAGGAGCAAAGAGATCGTCCTTGAGACCCGACTTGACCATCCACCAGCCAATGAAGCCCTGGAAACCGATCAAGCTGGAGATGCCGAGGAGGTTGACGGCCATTCTGGGAGAGACTCGGCGGCGCGCGACAAAGTACAGCGAGGGAAGGACAAACGAGAGGCCAATGAAGCGACCCCAGAGGCGATGGGTCCATTCCATGAAGTAAATCTTCTTGAACTCCTCCAGCGTCATGTGAGGGTTGAGCAGCTGGAATTCCGGGGACGCACGGTATTTTTCGAATTCAGACTCCCAGTCGGCAAGTGACATGGGAGGCAAAGAGCCGGTGACGGGCCTCCATTCCGTTATGCTGAGTCTATATACAGAGTATCTAGTTAGCGACTGACTCTTGCATTGCTTCTGTTGCTCATCCGAAGCGAATTGGAATCATACCCAGACTCAGTCAATCTTGTTAGTCCACCCCAGACGACGATGCCGAAGCAGCTAGCAGCACTGCCAATGAGCCAATACGCGATAGCCTTGGAGGTGGTTTTCTTAGGAAACGCCTTTGGAGCCTTGGCCTGCACCTGAGATGCAACAGCCGAAGCGTTTTGGGCCGCCAGGCTTTCCAATGGCTTCGCATGTGCATATCCTCGTGATCGTACGATGTTCAGGATGGGCGAGGGAGAGCGTCTGGGCGCCTGTCGAAGGCATTGGTTGCAGACAAAGAACCTCGAGGGCATCTGGAGGGCAGCCCTCCGAAGCCCAGCTGCAAAGACGGCCATTTTGTGCTTCTCTGCGCAATAGCGCTCAATGTGAAGGCGAAAAGGCGCTGGAATCGCACGATATTTCGGGATTCTGAATTATAGCATGTCGTCGGAGCTTACAGGGCGCCGAGGCGGGCGGGCCACAGCGGAGTCGGGAAACAATTGGAGGGGCGCTGATAGGTGGGATGCCGCCGGGGGTCCCCGCCAAACTACCCTCACCGCCAATTTTTTTCACACGGCAGAAAAAATGCAAGGCAAAGTTGAGCAGCAGCAAAAAAAAAGAGAAGGGAAAAAAAGGTTGAGAGAGAGGTACTTGGACAGCTTCACGTCGCATAGCGCCTGGCAATAACGCCCTATAAATTACGAATACAGAGTTCGTGAGGATGCCGGGTCGACAGGCTCATGGACGGCCGCTGCTAAGCCAGCCAAAGGCCAAGTCTGGCCCCAAGAAGTCCAAGTCGAGGGCGCAGACGAATGCGCTGAATGCCTTCAACATTGCGCAGGAGAGATTCCCCACAAAGGAAAAGAAGACGCCACGAGCACGAGAATTGGATGCCGAAATTGAGAAGAAGCATGCGCGAGACGAAGAGGACGACGATGAGGACGACGACGAAGAAGAGGGTCCTAAGCGGAAGAAGATCAAGGCTCCCCAGCGCAGTGCGGCAGCTGGTGGCGATGTAGAATTCGGCAGCGACAGCGAAGGGAACGAGTGGCAGCTTGGTGGAATGGCAGACGACGACGAGGATTCCGAAATTGAGAGTGACGATGCGTTTGGCGACAGCGACAACGAAATGTTTCAGGGCTATGCCTTTCGCGGTTCCAAGACCGGCCAACGAAAAGTGAGAGATTGCAATTGGTAAAAGTACTGATGCATAGTGCTAACCCACAGAAAAAACAGGACGACGACTCAGAAGACTCTGACGATAGCAATGACGACCAAGGAGAAACTCTTGGCGAAGATGCTATTGATCTAGCAACGGCTCTGGATCAGTTCGAGGAAGAATCTGAAAAAGAAGAGCTAGAAGGTGAAGAGGGCTCCGAAGAGGAAGACTCGGAAGATGAGGAGGATTCTGATGAGTCGAATGGCTCTGAGGATGTTGATGATGACAGCGACGAGGAGGCCGATCCCGAGAGATTGAACGAGCTCAAAGGCTTGATATCTGGATTTGGTGGTGAGGAAGATGACGACAAAGACGCGCCAGTCTCCAAGAACCAGAAGATCGATCTCGGCGACCTCGGACTCTCTGGAATAAACGACCCTTTCATGAAGCAATCAGTAAAACTCCTGAAGAAGGAATCGAAAGAAACGCGGCCCGGGGCGTCAAAGAAGCTAGATGTGCCACTATCAAGAAGAGAACAGGGCCGCATCGACCGAGCAGCCGCCTACGAAAAGACAAACGAGACGCTTAATCGATGGACGGAGACCGTTAAGCAGAACCGCAGAGCCGAACACCTGATATTCCCTCTTCCCGAGAACTCCGAATCAGCTGGACTCGATCGGACAGAGCTTCAACCTCTCACGCTGAAGAGTGCCGCCAACGAGCTGGAGTCTACAATCATGGGCATCATGGAGCAGAGCGGCCTATCTCTGGAAAAGGAGAAGAAGCCCAAGAAGCAGGAATTCGACGAGGAGGGCAACCTGCTTACTCGGAAGCAGGTTCTGGAAAGGAAGCGTCTGGAGCGCGAGATCAATTCCAGAGAAGCAAAGCGCGCCAAGCGTATCAAGAAGATCAAGAGCAAGGCCTATCACCGAGTGCACAGAAAACAGCGGGAGCGCGATGAGATGGCTACCAAGGAAGCCATGGCCGAGGCTGGCGAAATTGATTCCGAAGAGGAGAGGGAAGCTCAGGACCGTCGTCGTGCGCTGGAGCGAGTAGGCCAGCGTCACAAGGACAGCAAGTGGGCCAAGATGGGATCCAAGGCGAAGCGTGCTGTTTGGGACGACGATTTCCGGTCTGGTTTGACGGAGATGGCTCGAAAGGACGAGGAGCTGCGTAGAAGGAAAGAGGGCAAGAGCTCAAGGGGAGCTGGAGACGATTCGGACGAGACCAGCAGCTCTGGGTCTGACGACGATGATAACGATGATTTGCGGCGACAGCTGGATGAGCTCGAAGAAGAAGACGACGAGCCCCAGTCAAGGCTGATGAAGATGAAGTTTATGCAAAAGGCGGAAGCAGCGAAGAAGAAGGCAAACGACGACCTCATCAAGGAAATCCGCAGGGAACTAGACGGAGAAGAAGCCCAAGTCTCCGACGAAGAAGAAAAGGGCGGCGAGATTGGCCGAAGGCAGTACGGCAACGGAGCAGCCAACCCGTTCGCCATGCCGCAAAACATATCAGCCCGAGAAGCCAAGAGGAACCGCGTCAAGGACTCTAGGGAAGAGGAGCAAGACGTGGGCTTCGCAAACGGCGATGGCGCCCCTCACATCACAAACGGCTCGGTGAACCACGCCTGGTTAACTCCTGCCGAGGCAACGTCTTCCATCGCGGGAGCTTGGTCTCAGGGCGACTCACGCAGAAAGAAGACTTCAGCACGCGCCGACGACCTCGACCTCAACGCCAACATCCTCACCGCTTCTCAACCTAAACCGAAATCCAAGCCAGCCAAGAAGTCACAACCCAAAGCCCAAGACGACGACGACGACGACGACACCTCCTCCGAATCCGAGTCTGACGCCGAGTCAGAGAACCGCCTGCCCCTCGCCATCCGCGACAAGGCCCTCGTGGCACGGGCCTTTGCAGGCGAAGACGTCGTCGCCGAGTTCCGGCGCGAAAAGGACGAGATTGCCGAAGAGGACGACGACAAGGTCATTGACAACACGCTCCCCGGCTGGGGCTCCTGGGTCGGCGAGGGCATCAGCGCCCGCGAGAAGAAGAGGCACCAGGGCCGCTTCCTGACAAAGGTCGAGGGCATCAAGAAGGAGGACCGCAAGGACGCCAAGCTGGATAAAGTCATCATTAACGAAAAGCGCATCAAAAAGGTTCGTCTCAACACCCTAGCCCCCTTGTTTTTTTCAATATTTACTCTTGTCCCGGAAAACTGACCCTCTACAATCACAGAACGACCGCTATCTCGCTTCCCAGCTCCCCTTCCCATTCGAATCGAGACAGCAGTACGAGCGGGCTTTGCGTCTGCCTGTTGGCCCCGAATGGATGACCAAGGAGACATTCCAGAACAACACGAAGCCGCGGGTGATTATGAAGCAGGGCATTATCACGCCCATGTCGAAGCCTTCTGCATAGATTTTCTATTTAATGCTGTCAAATTGAGAAAAAATAGACTTACCCCGACGATGGACCATTTATTTTCTTTTTACATTGTATACACCATTCGAGTTTGATTTTCATAGGGCCTGACTATATCGCGGTTGTTAAAAGTCGATTCAGGTGGAATGTTGTTCATAGCTCTTCTGTTGGAAATATCACGGCAGACGTCAGGTGCAAACAACTCGTTGCTTTTTCACAGGTATCATTAAAATTATCAATACAAACACGATATAACGCCATCATTTTGTCCGTTTTCCCATAGATCGCGAGGCAGAAAAAGGAAATAAGCAAAAAGTAAAAAGAACAAAGGAAGAAAAAAAAAAAGGCAAAGTGACCACCGCTACCTTGGGGCACACATTTTGATCCGACGCATCTAGCAATATTCCCTGACCCTCAGCCGTCCCTTGCAAAGACTTCAAATTTGCAATCCTTGGAATTCAGCCCAACGCATGAAAATAATAATACAGGGATAGGAAGGGGGCTGGTATAGCCAGCAGTAATCTCGGTGGTAGGGTTTTTGTTGCAGGAAACAAGTCCCGCGTTCGTCCATAACACAAGAAATGGATGCTATCAAGGTATTCATAGCGTCCACGGCTATGGTGGTATTTTAATAGTCGAATGCATGTCATCTCCGACCAAGGGTAGTGGATATCAACTCGCATAATCGTCGTCGACGTTATTCAGTCGTACTTAGTTGCCACCGCTGACAAGATTTGTTGCCTTGTCCAGAAAGTCGCCTGGTGTAGCAAAGAAAGCAACGGCAATGATAATGTAGAGGCCGAGAAGCATGGCACCTTCGAGATAGTTTGATTTGCCGTCTTGAACGGTATAAGTGACAACCAAGACAGACACGGCGAATGCAACAGTCTCGACTAAATCATGATTAGTTTTGAAGGTAAATTCTTTGGGCACAGGTGTAACTCACAGGTCTCAAAGTGGAGCGTCATGTCACGTCCAATGATCCATCCGACAATAACGAGGAATGGTGTGACACCCAACGCGATCTGGATGCTGGAGCCAATTGCCACACCCATGGCCAAGTCCATCTTGTTGCGAAGGGCGACGACCACGGCAGTGACATGTTCCGCAGCATTTCCAACAATGGGAATCAGGATTAAACCGATGAATGCCTTGCTGATATTTGCGCTTTCGACAAGGTCATCGATGCTTCCGACCAAGTAATCGGCACAGATGGCGACCAAAATTGTTACAACGACGAGGACTCCGGTGGCAGCAATCGGACCCAGGGTGGGCTCTTCGGGCTCCTCACCGTCGGCGGTGGCAGGGTCCTCGGGATCGAAAAGGTTGCTGTGCGTGCGAAGCTGGAAAACGAGATACAGGGCATATAGAGCCAGCAGAATGATGGCAGTGCCGCGAGAAAGAGTCAGGATGCTGCGGTCCTTGTCGCCGATATCAGTATCCTTCTGGTCGAGAACGCCGTACAGCTACAGGAGAATGTTAGACAAAGCTCGTAATCTTAAGGTGAGGCAGGGGAGAACATACCGCAGCGGGAATGACCAGGGAAGCAGAGGAGAGGGCCATGAGAGAGCAGGTAGTCTGCGCAACGGCGGCCGAGAAGACCTGTTCTGTACCAGCTCCTGTCGAACCACGGTGTCGAAGACCGCCAAACAAAAAGCACATTCCCATGACCAGCAGCAAGTTGGAAAGAATGGATCCGAGCATGGAGGATTGCACAACCTCAATCTGGTTCTCGCGGAGAGCCACAATGCTGACCTGCAAACAGTCAGTCCCTACCAAAAGATGAGAAAATATTGCGCGCAACGTACAATCAACTCAACAGCGTTTCCAAAAGTAGCGTTCAGCAGCCCACCCAGAGCCTCGCCGAGCTTGAGAGATATTTCCTCAGTCGCAAAGGACAAGACGGCGGCGAGCGGGATGATGGCGAAGAAGTTGATGGTAAAAACGGCGGTTGAGTTCCAGCCGAGGCGGCCAGCAACAATGCCGATGGGGACCATGATGAGCAGGAAGTTGACATAGTCTAAATGGCGAAGAAGATATATTAGTATACAGCTATTTGCCGAGAAACGGGCGGGATTGTAATCCTTGCGCAAAACTTACTGCTCAGGAGAGTCACCTTGGTGACATGCCAAGTGTAGGCAAGGCTGCGGACGACCAAGTTGTCGCTGTCATTGCCGGGCGTGTGCTTCGAATCGAAGAAGAATTGGTAGGCGGCGGAGCGCTCGCGACGAATATCACCTAGAATGTGATTCTGGTTGCCATTGGAGCCCTCGCCGTTGAGGCCATTGAGGAGCGGCGTGCGCTCGTTGTTGTTTGGTTTGTAGCTCATGGTGCGCCGAATGCGTCTCGTCCAATTCAAGTTGACTGTAATCGACGATGCCAATTGAGTGTGGTCAGTTTACGAGGGATCGCAACGAGCGAGATGGGTCGATAAAAGAGAGAAAGAGTAAGGCGGCGCAAAGGTGAAAAAGAGAGTAGATGGCAGCAGAGGATTGCACGCGAGAGGTAAGGGAGAGTTGCTAGTTGGAGCTATTCGCAGCAAAGGCAAGGCAGCCGAGTGTCGTAGGAGGCGGGAGGATGAAGAGGAAAAGGAAGAGGATCAGCGATGGCAGCCACGATGCCAATTCCCACTGCCCATTGAAGGTTGCAATTATGGAGGCACTACCAGTATTTGAGTGGTGCAGGGATGGAGACACAGAGGCGGCGAGGTAGGGATAAAGTAATAAAAGTTCAAGGCGACGAGGCTGGGGCAGGTGGAGAGGAGAGGAGAAATTGAGGTTTTAAGAGCTGCGCGTGGCGTTTCTGTTTGGTCCGGGGGCGTGGTATGTCACAGAGCTAGGGCGAAGGAAAGAGAACAAAGGGAGATTTGATTTGATTTGATACGAGTCGCAAGAAAGCACTGGATCGGATCGCACGCCTGACGAACAAAGAGAAACGCAACCATGTCACTTACACAGGCCCAGGGACATTGCTGGAAGCTCCGGAAGAGCTGTGGGATACGGGACAGGCGAGTTTACCCGGACAGGGCGGGAATATCGAGAGCAGACGGGTACAGCAGGGTACGGTACAGTACAACGCAACCCTTTGTTGGAATCTCGGTTGAAGCCGCGGTCGAGTCGGTCCAAGGCGAATCGAGAGAGAGAGATGGAGGGAAAAAAAGAAGAGCAAATCCAGTATCTGCGCGATGCCAGCGAATGGGTATGCCGGGGCCAAGGCTAGCGCGGGTCCACAAGGGGTCCCGGGTACGTGCGTGTGAGACCTGGAGGTTCAAGGTTGCCAGGTACCGGTCGGTACCTTGCCGTGGCTGAGGCCTGGAATACACTGCACTGCACTCGTAATACTGTAAGTGTCGGATGACTCAGTGATTTCAATGATGTTTGACGCTGCACTGTGATGATCAAAGGTGGCCCAAATGGACGCTGCAGTATGTACGAGTAACTCGTAACCGTAGGCGCAAGGCACGGATGCTGCAAATCTTGGCACGCGACTTGCCTTGCCGGGAGGCCTCCTTCCCCTCCAAGAAGCCCCTCCTGCAGCCTGCAGATTGTATGACAGCGATACCGCCCTTGGTTGACGTATGTATGTACACGTGCGTAACATTTACCTAGCAGGACAGGTACCTCTATCTGCTTTTCACCGTATTGTTTGGGTGCATCTTGGCAATGAGCTAGTACTGTAGACTAGACAGCAGCTATTCTGTACTGCACTGTGATGTACTGTAATACGGTGTGCGGAGAAGACGACAGAACAAATTCAATATCAAGTAATTGAAACCTTGAAAAAGGGCCAATTCGCGCATCGCATCGCATCGCATCAAATCCAATCCAATCCGATATTAGCGCCTCCCGCTTCCCAAAACATGCGCAGGGATCTTCTCTCCCCAAAAAAAAAACTCCACAAAAAAGCTTCGCCAGTCTAAAAAAGCTTGTTGTGTGACGGAATGGAACTGTACAAAGAGCAAAGTAACTGCATGTCCCCCCCTCGCAGGGGGGTGGAGAAAAGCTAGAACCAAGGTAAAGCGTCAATCCACGACGTCATGCACGATTCAGCAGCAACCGCTTCTTCTTTTTCTCTTTTGTTCTACGAGTACCTTACGGCAGGGCGGCAAGGGAAACGGAGAATGCCGTCCTTCTTGATTCTCATTCGCTCGCCCAGGTTTCGGTACCCGCGCTTGTTTTATAAAAATGAACTCAATGATTACGAGTACCGAATAACTGGCCCCTACTGACCCATAACCATAACCTCGGCCGGAGACGAAAAAACGAACAAAGAAAGAAATAGAAGAAAAAAAAGGTACACACGTATCCGGACCTTATGCCCGCACGTTCCAATCTACAGTAGCCGCTCAGTGCCCAAGTACTACTAACTACTCTGACCTCATCTACTCCGTACCGTACCTTATTTCCACTCCATACCCTCGTACAACATCAAGTACCCGTAGACATCCAATATCAAATCATCCAAAACACCGCCTGCATGCACCCGCCAAAAAAAGGGCCAAGACAAAACCCTCACCTACCATAAAACACGTGCTCCCCCCTTATCCCATCAAATCTCTTTCCTTTCAAACACGCATACGCAAACTCGTACAAACATTCGTTTCCTCACCCCCTCTTACCAAGCAAACTCCTCCTCCCGCATCGCCTCTTTCTTCAACCTGCACAGCCCCCCAAAAATCCACCTCTCAAAGGTTGAATACCGCAAATTAAGCTTAATTTTCTCCCCCCCCTCACTCGTGACCCCGTTTAGACAAATCGTACCGCTCCAGCCTCATTACTGATGATTTTGAATTTTTGAATTTTGATTTCCAACTACCCTCTACTTTACCCGGCTGCTTCTAGAACCAAACTTACCCCGCCGGCCGACTCGTCACCACAGAGGTCTCGACTCTTTCAAGTCCAACGTTTCCGATGGGCTACACACGACACCACTGTCTCAGCCTCTGGCCCAGGTTGTAGCCAAGGCTCTGGCCAAGGCTTTAGGCTCTGACCAAGGCTTTGGCTCTGGCTCTGGCTCTGCTGCAGTGCCCCTTGCGCGGCGGATCTTATCGATAAACAACTTAGTATCGCCAAGCGCCCACGTGGAGATCTTGTTGATTACCGTCACACTGCACAGCCGAAGCACCGCGATCTAGGGAAGCCGAAATTAAACGCCCCATGAGAAATGAAGCATCTACTCTGCAGAATGTACATGCATCGTCACGTTGTACCAAGCCCGAGTCGCAGCAACCATCAGGTGACAAGAGCCATTGCGCCCAACCCAAGTCACGGCGTGAGCGAGCCATCCCGAACCTCCCGCCAGCATGTCCGACGACGTCACGGCGTTGGATATCAAACGGCCTTAGTCAGCGCCGGCCACACCTCACCAGGAACAAGCCGGGATAGAAACAGAAACAGAAACAGGCAATTGACAATGCCACCACGCCTCCGCTCAAAATCCCGCCCGCAAAGTCAATTTCGCCCTCGAATGCCGCATCTGTCCTGCCGCCGACGTGCTCAGCCTCGCAGCATCACCTCCCGCATCACATCCCGCATCGGCAAAGGTACGGCAAGATACGCATCGACAAATACGCCGCCCCGGCCCCATCCCACCGGCCGGAAGCAGCCAAGACGATCTAAAGGATCGCTTCAACATTTAGCTTGCCACGCTTGCTTCCTAAGCCTCCAACCGACAGTTGCCAAGTAGCAAAAGATCAGAGGACATCCTCTCCTTGCTCATCATATTTCCCCAAGCGCTGTTGCTGCCTGTTAGCATCGGATTCCCAACTCTGACAGACAGAGGCACCCTAGACTTACCGGCAGAATAAGCCATAAACCACGTCAGCGATGCTCCGCCATCCAGCCACTGGGGGCTGAATGACCGTGAGCTAAAGAATTCCCATGCCTTCTTTGGCTCAACCGACGCATAGCTGGCCCAAATGATGCCCTTCCAAGCATTGCCAATGTCGTCGATCCGCCCGTCGCTGAAAAAGGCATCCCATTCTTCCTGGACAAACTCCTTGACCCTCACAAACGGTGTCGAGGGTAGGATAGGAATCATGTGAATCCCCTGAATTGCCTCAATGTTGGGATCGAAATACGTCGTGTGGTCCACCTTGTTCTCGAATAGGATGCCCGCGACCTTGTTGCCAATAAATTGCTTTGGCTGGACCTCGTTGTCGCTCTTGTACAGGTAATAATTCTGCAGGCTACGGGCGATGATGGAGAGCTGCAGATTACCCCTATTACGGTCTTGGCATCAGCTATTTTGAATTTCTCAGTTTTCAGGGGGGCAAGCGCGGGAAACGAGGGAAACTAGAAACAAGCACAAGACGTGGATATCGCTAGAGCAAGAGCATGAGGAATCTCGCCTCTTACCTTGCCTCCAAATCGGCATTCTGGCTGACCTTGCCCCACATCTTGAGGGCATATGCATGCATCATGTCCTCAGAGCTCGATTCTTGGTCCTACTAGCCGTTAGCGATGGAGAAGCGCTGCCGTCTCAAGAGCCCAATTCACCTTGCCGTCCATAGCGGCATAGAGACCATGTGCCCAACTGTGGCCGTGATACCAGTCGAAATTCCGCCACATGGGAAACAGCTTGTCCTTGGCGCTAGGATTGGCCACATCGCGAACCAGCGCATTGATATAGTCCTTGTTCTGCTTCAGCCAGTCCGAGTCGAGATGGCCAATGATTGCGCCAGCAAGAATATGATAACCGTAGTGGAAGTGATGGTCATTGTAGTACGTGTTTCCAAAGTCAGCGCCAGAATTTCCCGTAACATAGCTTGCCGACGACACGATACCACCCCAAGCAGCTACCAGTCGCAGAGTTAGCATCTCACAATGGCCTTGGAACGAGGTCAGCGGTAAACAAGTAGTGAGCCTCTACTTACATTCGTAGACAAGAGGAAACTTTTGTTCATTGGCCGCAAACGTGGCAAACGCCGCCTTGAGCTGACCCAGGCCAGTTTGTGCCAGGGCCTTGTCCCCTAGCATATGTTTCACCACGTAAAGAATGGTCGCAAACTTGGCCAAGGCCTAGGGAGCAGTTTGTCAGTTGTATTTCCATACCGCAGCGAGAGGGACGAGAAATCTTCAAAGATGCATACCTTTCCGCTAAAATACATGGAATCCAGATTGCTCTGCGCAATCATGTTCTGCGCGATTTCCTTTGCGGCGGCCGCACGAACAATGCTCTTCGCGTGATTCGATAGCTTCTCGACGCTTCCTCTCTCGGGGTCCCAAGGAGCAAACGCCATGTCCACCGGCATCTTGGGCTCGAGCATGGTCCATCGATTTCCCTTGACCAAGGTGGCAAGGCCCTTCGTAGTGGATTGCAGCTGCGTTCCCCGCTGTATACGCCTCGCTGTCTCACGATCAAACGAGTCTACATGGTGAGGGAGAGCGTACATGTAAAGGTTGCCAGTCTGATGCCCGTCTATCTCGAAATTGAACGAGTAGCTGCCTTCATAACCGCGAGCTGTACCTGTCAATTCGAGCGTGACGGGCCAGATGCCTGCACCATCGTCCAAGATACGCTCGGCATCCTGGCTCTTTGGACACTTGCAGACCTGGATGACACCATGAAACGGCTTCTTCGATTCAGCCAGCCCATTGTTGACAACCCTGAGTTCCAGCGGATCCCCCTTTGTCGTCCAAGCATACATCAGCCAAGTAGCTCCATCCTCGAGATGGAACGTGAACTTGGCCAGGCCATGCTTGAGCTCTCGTGTTACCCGAGTCATAGTCTTGAAGAATACACCAGTTTGAATGACGGGGGTCGCGCCGCTATACTGCGCCGTAATGTATGCCATTCCTTGCACCAGGGGAAACGATATAGCGGGTGGAGAATCGTCGTCTCTACTCAGGTGAACCCGCGCCGAGAAGGCTGTCATGCTGTCAATGGATAGAGTCGTTTCCTTTCCTAGCTCCTTGGCTGAAAGAACCAGGGAATGTATGCCCACCGGGTTGAGATAGAAAGACGAAGCACCGTTAAACTTCTCTTTACCAAAAACCCTTTGGCTAGCCTCGGTGTGAGAGCATGCCATGCCCCAGCTGGCCGTTATGCCTTTTCCTCCAGCCCAGGCCAGCGAGTAGGGAAAAGTAAAAGTCGGACATCGCTGGTCTTCCAAGAAGAAATTGGAGTAGAACTTGTTTGTCTGAAGCGGCGCATTCTCCGAGATACCCTTTCGGGGAACGGGGTGGTCCTTTCGAGTCGTGATTTGGGAGGGAGGCAAATCGACGTCGATGGGCTCCGCGAAAATGTTCTTTGATACCATGATGCCTTCTTCTCCAGCGGTAGCGGCGTCCATATCGGCTATCCGTGTATAGAATCTGACCGTGGTCTCTGCGGCTGGCACTTGAGGCAATCTGGTTGGACTGTGGGGAAAGTCGCTTTCGCTTGTGCCTACTTGAGTGATATGCGTTGGAGGTAATATTTCTGTCTCAATTGGAAGAGAGCTCGCAGTTACAGTAACTGTCGTCGTGAAGCTATTCTGAGTACAAGAGGAAGACTCAGTGCGGGTGGACTTGGAGACCGTCGTGGTAGAAGCCAACGTGTCATTCAACAACAAGTTTCTAAAGGGAGAATGCAACCGAGTCTTGGTCGGGCGCTTCGATTTGACGGTCTTTTCCGAAGAGACAAAGCGGCCCTGGCTAGTATCCAAACCGGGTAAAGCGAGAGTGCCTTGAGAGAGTATCAGCCAACAAATCCATAATATGAAACGATATAAAGCCATGATATTGGTGAAGATTTGAGAATATCCATGTATACATGGTGCAAGGTGATTTTCCAAATTAATGCCTTAAGCAGAGTTCTTTAGATGCCCGCGAGAGACATAGTATCAGAACCAAGCGGTGTCTCCAACGTGGAATTAAAATATCCATAGTCGCAGAGGAATGGGTGCCCAGAAGATGTTTTGTGGGGGAACTGATTCACAACCACGCATGACTCCAAGATGCTAGGGAGCCTGGAATGCAGACCGGCCACAAAGGGGAGGAGACAATCAGTGGTGGTTTGTTGTTTTGGACATACCTGTGTCTGACGATTCGGAGCTGAAGTGCTGGCCTCGGAGACTGTGAGCGGTGCGGATGAAGCAATAATGATGGTGATTGTGGTACAGGAGGGGAATGTCACAGAAGGTTTAACGGATGAACAAAAGATGAAGATATAACCAAAATGGCAAATGTACAGTGATGCTGAATAGGAGCTTGTAGGAAGAAAAGAGGTGCTGATATGAGGTATGAGTCTGCGAATGCTGAAGAGTTGAGAAAGAAAGCTCTCGCGTCTTTGGAATATTTGGTATCCTCTACCCTACAAAAGCCGGGCTAGCTCTGGCAAGAGGGACTCAAGAGGAGACGCCCTTCCGATTGCGCCTCTGTTGCTTTGCCTGGGATCTTTTAAGTCAGCTGCCACTGGGCCATAGGTATATCCTGGTGATTGCTACCTCTGTACCTACGTACCTAGGTATAAAGAAGCTCTCTCTTGATAACGAGCTTAGTGTTACCCTTTATGAGCTTGTACTGGAAACGTCCGTAGGTGGGTCACGGGCCACTGTTTGTCTTTCCTCAATGCAAAAGTTTGAGAGTCTCGCTCTTTTTTGGCGGAATTGGTTGTTTAGGCCGGACAGGAGCTGAGCTGGGCTGTTATGGTGTTTGGTGTTGCCCCGGCGCTGGTATGAGCTGGCTTGAGACTTTGGAGTAAACAAACATCCATGCGTTGTTTGAGGGGAAAATCAATGAACCGTTGTTGTGGAGCAGCTACAGAACCTTGGGAGCTTGGCGGCTGCGTGAGCGGGAGAATGGCAATTTGAGCCGTGTGATGGTGCCGTGTCGCCTTGAATTGTTTGGATTGATGCCATTTGCTTGCTGTTTTTGCTGATTGCACGGTAGGTAGGATATGATGAGGTATCGTTGCATTGGCGTGCTCATGATGTGCGCTCGGGAATTACACAGTGACGCCGCACGAGTGTTACTGCTTGAATTCTAGAATTTATTTGGGTTGTATTACGGATTACACATTGTTTCCCAATCTCATCCCATGATAGGCTATAACCCAAGAGCATTATATTTCCCCGTTGATGCGCCCTCCCCAATGATCTTCTGTACTGTCTTGGCCACGCCGTCGTCACGCGAGCTTTTGCTCTTTGAATCTCTTGTAGGCAGCTTCGTACTCCCTGATTTAACTTCCTTGGTCCTGCTTTGCTTCTTCGCCTTCTTCTTCGCTGCCTCAGCTTCTGACCGTTCCGCGTCTCGTCGGCATCGGCGTACGTCTTTGTCTCGGAGCACCCAAGGCACGTCCAAGACTTCGCGGCGAAATCTTGCACGCTTTTCCCACAGCACTACCTCTTGAGCCGTACTCTTCACAATGATCATCCTCTCGATATTGATCTGGTGTTCGTTGCGGAACAATGACACACTGCCTTTCACATCCACCACCATGCCAACATCGATATCTGCATAAGGATCGGCCTCTTGTGCATCTGCATCCTTGTCCGTTCGCTGTTCGCCTCCGGTCGATTCGTCTTTTGGCTTTGCGGGAATTGGCGGGGTAGTCACAACAACAATGTTTGTACCGCTGCTATCATCGATGGTATAAAGCCGCCGGTTGAAGAATTGCTCGATGGCCACGACGACGCCAACCACTCGCACCCATTTTATCGGGAGGTTTCTGTAGAAGAAGAAGTTTTCTCCTGTAAGCACAGTAAGTTTCAACTGCCGTAATTCAGATACCAGTATATGCGTACCTTCAAAGCCAGCATGTTGATCTAGAGCGTGAATGTCGACAGCACGCAGCAGACACCAGGCATTCACGGTAGGCGATAGGTGGAAGCAGTATCGCGGATAAAGAGCAGCTTTGATAGACTCGGTCATGGAATGCGTGTCCTGATGCCTTGATTCACTGGCGAATCAAGCGCATGCACCCATATCTGCGCAATTGGCGTTGCGCTCATCGTCTGGCATGTCGCCAAAGGAGAAGAAAATCCAGGGTTGGAGCAGAAGCGTTGTGCGAAAGGCCGTTCGTTGCCGTGGCTGGCGCGTCACTCCAAGCCCCGCTAGCTCACTGAAGCTTGCATGCTGTGCTTGTAAGCCTTGTAAGTTGCACATGAGAACTCCATTCCATGACTTATAAACATCAGGGTAATATGATAGAAATAATCTTCAGTGTATTTAATTGATGCATTTTTATCGACCAGTACTTGTATAGAAGATCTACCCAGGCACACCCAGCGCCCAACTGAGGCTGTGAAATACCAAAAACATGTTTCCGAATAGCATGTGCTGCGTGATGCGACGCCGTAAACCCAAATCCCTTGTCCCTTGTCCCTTGTCCTGTGAAATAATAAAAACAACCCGGCTTGTATCCCAATACTCAAAAGCATACGCTCCATTGACTCTACCGGCGAGACCTCGTCGATCGACGACCCGTGCTTGAAGCAGGTTTCTCATCCTTTGTAGAAGTCTTGGCCTTCTTAAGCCTTGCTGCAGCTGCTTGGAACGCCTCCTCCGATGGCTCCTCTTCGTCTTCATCCACAGCGCGCTTCTTTCCCTTGCCCTTCTTGCCCGCAGCGCTCTTTGCGCCGTACTTTTCCTCGAGGTGGCTGAAGAAGCCCTCTGCGCGGTCTTGCTGCCGCTTCTGGATCAGAGCTGCTAAGCTGTCCTCTGAGCTCCCCTTGCCCTTCTTGCCCTTTGTCTTGCCGCCAAAGATTTTGTCGTGGACGCCAAGCTCCTTGGCCAGCTCCTCTGCTTCTGCTTCCTCGGCCCTTGCCGCCTTGGCACGAGCGGCGCGCTTTCGCTTGTTTTCCTTCTTGTAGGCTGGGAAGCTGGGGACATCGCCCGTCTCAATTGCTTCGTCGATAATCTTGCGGAACCGCTCATCATCCTCGACAACATCGCTGAGCATTACTCGTTCGTACACCTGGTCCATGTCGCCTTCGCACTCTTCGTAGGCAATGAGGAGGTCATCCTTCTCTTCGTCGGAGCGCTTGTACTTCGCGGCAAACTTTTTGATGGCATCTTCGGAGATTGCATCCTTGTATTGCTCCCGGTAGTATTCGCTCCAGTCGAAGCCCTCTGAATCGACAATGGACTCGGATGTTGATCCAGTGGTGTCGTATCGCTTTCGTCGCGCGGGGTCTGACAGGACGGCGTAGGCGAATGCGATGCCCTGGAAGGTCTCATGAGCTTTTTCCTTTTCAGACTCGGAAACTTTGTCTGCAGCGTTCAATGTTAGCATTGGTGAGTGACGACACCCCCAGACCTCTGAGCAACAACCCACCTGGATGATTCTTGAGCGCTGCCTTGCGGTATGCGCTCTTGACCTGGTCAGCAGTTGCGGTGCGCTCGAGCCCCAGGACCTCATAAGGGTCGATTGCGGGCGGCTCGCCGTCGACGACATCTTCGTGGTCCGACATTTTCAAGGCTCGATGGAACGCTGCAAGTTTGTGTTGCAGTGCAGAGTCTCGGGGGAGGGTAGGCTGATCAAAGTGGGAAGCTCTTTAGCTGGGTCACGCGTCGCAACGCGCTCAGGAACCCGTTAAGCTTAATGGAGGTCGGCAGCCGAGATCCACTAACTGCCGCCCTATATCCGGAGGGTTGCTGGCCTAAGCTCACTAATACTGACTGATGGCTTAGAACATGAACGCTGCAACTTGACCTTCTATCAAAATTGAAGCAACCAAGCAGCATTGGATGCCTGACATGCAAATTGGTTAGATGCAACTTGGACAATGATGGATTCCCCGGCGAGCCAAGATCACAAGACGTCGATGCAACATGCATTGGAGCTGGCAAAGAAATCCCCGCCAAAGCCGACAAACTTCCGTGTCGGCGCCATCTTGAAGAGGCTGGAAGACGGCCATGTCTCTGCTGAAGGCTATACCTTGGAGCTTGAGGGAAACACACATGCCGAAGAGTGCTGTCTTTTGAAGCTCGCAGAAGAACATGCCACCACCGAGGAGGGACTTGAAGCTGTTATGAAGAGTCCGCATGTCCTTTACACCACCGTCGAGCCCTGCTTCAAGCGGCTCAGCGGAAAGCTACCGTGCGTTGAGCGCATCCTTCGCCAGAAGTCGTGGATCAAGAAGGTCTATGTGGGGGTTCTAGAGCCCGAGACTTTTGTCGGAAAGAATCCCGGCCGCCAGCTACTCGAGGAGGGCGGTGTTGAAGTTCACTATATCCCCGGGTTTGAGGAAGAAATCCTCGCGGTGGCCGCAGCTGGTCACACAGCATCATGAGACTGTCGACCTTGCTTCATCTGTGGCGGTTGGCCAGCTGACTTGCTGCCCGTGATGCATGGGAGATTCTCTGCCAATACGACGAAATCTCAGAGGCGGGTTTATGGCAACAATTTACATGTGCGAGTCGTTTTAGGCATTTGGCGTTGTCATCTTTTGAAGAGACTCTACACATGAGTAAGCTTTGCGCTCAAATGTCAGACAATGTGTACATATATCGCGGGGAAGGGAAAATCTAATCTCATAGCGGGTACTTAATGACCTGGACATGAATAAAGGCTCTTTTGTACATATCCAAGCTGAACTCTCCTGTTATGCAAGGCAGTTGATTGAACGCTGCATGTGATGGAACTGCACGTTCCTGTTGGTGACAAAAATAGTGACGAATCGAGATGGTGTGGACGCCGTAAACGCGGGGTTGCACCGCTGATGAACCCTAAGCTCAGTCCTTGTGGCTACGGAGATGCTGTAAGACGTTTTCGTCTCATCCATCCCTTTGCCTCACTTTCGATGGCCTTTATCGCCAATCAATTGGGAAAATAAACAATAGACGTGAAACTCTATGGTTCACGTTAAAGCGTAACCATGGATGACTGAAACAGCCGCCGCTATCCAAGTCCAACATCCGCAAGAAGAAGCCAAAGCACAGATCCAAAGCTTCCTTCGCTTTCACGACTCCCGCCGTCTCGATCGCCATCCCTGGCTAGTGGATCAGAGTGCCCTGGCCCCAGTCGATATAATATCCGGCCTCCCATCGGGTCTCCAGCCGATCCCGTGGCGTCCGGTAAATGAGGAGAAGTCCATCGTATTACCCGACACGACAATCCATGCCCGCGTGACGTCGTCACGGAGAGACGCTGTTTATGAGCTGATACTCGGTGAACCTGGCCCTAGACGCATGTTCCGTATAGAGCTTCACCAGCTACAAATAAGCTTCATTCCTCTCCTCTGCCGCCTCCAAGTTCTTGCGTCATCACTCTCGTTCAGAGCTTGCAGCCAGTCACAGCCATGCTTGAACAAAAGGTAGTGACTTTTGAGCCCGGCGATGGCTTCAGCATCGTCGGCGCTGAAATCTTTGTTGACGAGCAAGACTACGAGGGTGTCCATATTGCGGCAAACAACCTCTCGCAGGACTTTACCAAGGTCACCGGGCAGCGCTGCAATCCAATTGTCAAGACTCGCCCTTCGGCTCCTCCGGCTCGATCATGTATCGTCATCGGGTCTCTCACTAAATCGCCCTTGATCCAGCAGCTGAAAGAGCAAGGCAAGATTGACCCTAGCCAAATTGAAGGGAAATGGGAATCTTGGATCACAACCGTTGTACACGAGCCCTTTGAGGGCTATGATGACGCCCTGGTCATTGCTGGGAGTGATAAACGCGGTACCATCTTTGGAACCTACTCCCTCTCGGAGCAGATTGGCGTGTCGCCGTAAGCTTCCTCCCCAATCACAGATTGCGAGTGAATTAGTGAATTCTGACAAGCCGCCAAACAATAGATGGCATTGGTGGGCTGATGTGCCCCCAAAGACGCAGCAGCAAATCTATGCCTTGCCCGTAACCACAAGCAATGGCGAGCCCAGTGTCAAATATCGTGGCATCTTCATTAATGATGAGTGCCCTGGCATGGACAGCTGGGTACACGAGAAATTCGGTCCTACGTTTGATTCCAACCTGTATCATTACATCTTTGAGCTTCTCTTGCGCCTCAAGGCCAATTTCATGTGGCCCGCAATGTGGAGGGGATATCCATACCCAGGACGGTCGTTTTTCGTGGACGACCCCAAAAACCAGGAGCTTGCAGATACTTACGGTATTGTCATGGGCACTTCTCACCATGAGCCGATGCAGAGGGCCATGAATGAGTGGTCTACTACTCAACCAGGAGGCACATGGAACTGGGATACAAACAAAGAAAAAGTTACTCAGTACTTTGAAGAAGGAGCCGAGAGAGCTGTGCCCTACGAATCCTACTTTACCATGGGAATGAGAGGCGAAGGTGATGTGCCAATGACTGGAGGCGACCCTGTAAAGATCCTCACCGAAGTGCTTGGTGTACAAAGGAATATCATCAAGAAGAATTACGGCAAGGAGGACGGCGTTTTGCAACTCATGGCACTCTACAAAGAAGTTCAGGGATACTATGAAAAGGGACTCGTGATCCCCGATGATGTGACCCTATTATTTGGCGACGACAACTTTGGCAATCTCCGTCGTCTTCCAACGGCGGAAGAGAATAAGAGGTCTGGGGGCTCGGGTTTCTACTATCATTTCCAATATACGGGCTATCCGCGGTGCTACAGGTGGATCAACAGCAACACCCTAGGCAAGGCTCTTCATCAGCTCCAACTGGCTCATCACCGAGGTGCCGATCGTATCTGGATCTTCAATGTCGGAGACTTGAAGCCTGTTGAGGTTCCCATGAGTTTTGCCTTTGACTTGGCTTGGGATATTAATTCCATCACTGCAACTACTCTGCCGCAATATTTTGAACACCTTGCTACTCGAGAGTTTGGTGAACAGTATGCCGGTCGGATTGCAAAATCCTGGTATGACTTTAACAAACTTGTGGCGATTCGAAAGCAGGATCACATTGATGCATCTACTTTTGTCATCCAGAAATACCATGAATCTGACAACATCATTGCGCGATGGCAGCAGCTCTTGGGAGAAACCGAAGCCATCTACTCGCACATTGACGAAGAGCACAAATCTGCCTTTTTCCAGCTCGTACTTCATCCCGTCAAGGCTACTTATATATTCACACAAGTACGCGTGGCCCAATACACGAACCAGCTCTTTGCCAAGCAGCGCCGAAACACGACCAACACCATGCTGAAAAAATGTATCGAACTCTTGGATGCCGATCATGATCTGTTCGAAGAGTACAATTCCATCTCAGATGGTAAATGGGACCTTATGCTCCGCCAGCCTCACTATGGCTATGGAGATACCGGCGCTGAGCCGTCGCGCAACATGATTGATGGGCTTTGCTATGTGCAGACAAAAGAAGACTCGAATCCGAGTGTTGGCCATATGGGTGTCGCGGTGGAAGGTATCGAAGGCATCAATCCCGGCCACATCAATGAGGACTCGGACAGAACCCATCCATCCCGAGGCGGCCTTGAGCCTGGAGTGACTCTGCCTTTCATCACACCATATGGAGAGCAGACTCGCTATTTCGAGGTCTTCCATCGCGGTACAAAGGAGTTTTCCTGGGAGGCTCGGCCGCAGTATCAATGGATCAAACTTTCTCAATATCAAGGGCATCTGAACCCCCGAGACGACGATATCAGGGTCATCATCACCATTGACTGGTCGGAAGTACCCACTGATTTTGACGCCAAAGTTATTATTGAAGTCATTGGTACTCGTGATGGTTATGAACAAGTCCACATGACTGTACGGAACAGCCGCGTTCCTGCAGACTTTGAAGGATTTGTCGAAGAGAGCGGCCACTTGGCTATCGATGCCGGCAACGTAGTTACGGCGCCATACATTCTGCATCCTGCCCTAGGTCGGCCTATTGCTGGAGCTGTCACTCTCCCCCTTGATTACGATTTTAGCAAGCCAGATGATATCCCATTCCTTCGATATCCGATTTACGTCTTCTCACAACATGACAATACTAACCTCGAGCTTCAGTTCAACATTACTCTGGAGACTGAAAAGACGAGCAGAATGCAGTACGACGTGCGCTTCGACGGGGGACCCATCAAAACATTCCGTCTCACTGACGATGAATCAAACGCCGATGACGTTCCTAGAGGCTGGGCCACGGCTGTCATGGACTGCGTCTGGAAGAAGGGACACAACTTGGGTACGGTGAAGAAGGGCAGTCACACCATCGAGGTACGATTCCGGAGCCAGAATATTTGTCTGGAGAAGTTGCTTCTTGACCTTGGCGATTTGCGGTACACGTACCTGGGGCCTCCACAGAGCGCCTATGTCAAGAAGGGAGAGAGCCAGGCTATGAAAGTTATTGGGCAATTGGATAGCTTGAAGATTGATTTGGGATTTCAAAGGTAATTTTTTCTTTACATGTTGTCTATGAAGGGATGAAGGAGTGGTTTAATTTCCAAAGATGTCTTTCATGTTTGTGTATTTGTGGTGTCGTTATCCAGCTGGACAAATTTACTCATTGAGTTTATACAAGATACTTCTGAGCTACCAAGTCGCCATTTTCGCTAGCCAAGGTAAATTTACAGATCGTTTGCGATGCTACATTCATGATATTAGTTCACAAGTCTGCCATACATGAGTAATGTCCTCAACTTACCGCGCCACAAGTTTCTTCGCACTGACTTTCCGGTCGTGAAGTGCCTGTATACCGGCAACTACACCATTCAAGCCATCTGGAAGCACCTCAGTTGGGTGAGGCTTGAATCTGCCCTCTGCCAGCAAGTGGCTGAGATACCTGTAGAACCAAAATGCAAAATCCGGGTCCACCTTTGCTTGGTCCTCGGTGATGAAGTTCCAAGTATCACCATGGGACGAACCAACCATTGTGCGTGAAAGCTTCACACTCTCGGGGAATGTCCAGCCCGGCTTGACGGGATCGACCATGTTGATTTCGCCGCCCCCTGATGCGACAAGCACCTTACTGATGGGCTCGTAACTGATGGAATCGGAAACTGCATCAAACGCAAGCTTTATCTTGGATGGTCCTGCAGCGTCAATGATCTTCTGGACTACATCTCCTTCTCGGTAGTCGATGATGTGGTCTGCCGCGTTGAGAGACTTGACGAAGTCGATTCCGTTGCCGGCAACGGTGATGATGGGGCCGAGGTTGCTCAGCTTAGCCAGCTGCAGAGCGAAAGCTCCCACAGCAGTGGCACCGCCCCAGATCAAGATGGGGGTCTTTTCAGCGGCAGGGTCTTGTAAGGTTGTTGGAAGCGGTAGTTTCAGGCCTTGATACAAGGCGATGGCGGCTGTCATGAAGGCTAGGGGCAACGCAGCACCAGATTCGAAAGAGATGTTTGGAGGGAGGTGGAACGTCGTG